AAATCGAAAAATTGAGCGGGGGGGGGGTGCAAATCGAAAGTTTAAAGGGGGGTTGCAAATCGAAAATTTGTCCCCGGGAAGGGTCGCTACGCCTCTGGGGGTGACACCATTAAGTGGCGCACCGGGTGACACCCGACCTTGCTACGCCACTGGGTGGTAGAATAGACTCCTCCCCCCATACCCAAGGACCTTCAACATCAAAGTTCTCACATTTCTATACATCTACAGGCGACGATGCTCTTGTATTGTTGAATATTTACAACTTTAAAAAAAATCAGATCGCCATATAGAACCTTATCAAACCTGGCGACATCAGCATATAAAGGGATAATGTAATCAGTTAAATCTCCAACCGCTTTTACTTTTCCTAACGACGTGAATCGGGTACCCGTCAGAGCTGGGCGGACGTTCAACTGACACAAACCCTGGATTCGAACACGAGACTTTATAGTCAGCCGTCTTATGCTCTACCATACGACCACGCCGTCCCACCTTTTCATATAACAATAACTTTATATTGTTAAAATCGTTGTATCAATATGACTATCTTTAACCCCCCCCCCCTTCATTATAAAACCCTACCTACGTCATCGACCGAATCACGTGTTAAAGTACAACACTTATAAACTAAGAGGCTTTATCTTGAAGCTAAAATTTATTTTTTTACAATACTAATAAACGTTAAGTGCATCCCTGCCCTTTGGTAGATGTGGCCTTCTATAGCCTTGCATCGAAACGTGCGCATTTTGAGCGCGTTAACATATAGAGTGAAAAGTGTAACTCTATATGTAACTTTAGTCGTGAGGCTATTGCACTATATGTGACTGTAGGACTTTAAGTCTGTAGGTTATCAAATAGAGACTATCAGATAATGATCTAGACTATGTGGGGGAGGGGAGATGGTTGTCGTCTGTGACGTAGGTGTACGTTAAAGGTCAAAGGGTGAATGTTCTAATTTATGGCGTTGTCTCCCCATAGTTTAGGCCCGCATAGAGGCAACTAGGCTCCCTATGTGGGATATGGACTATAGACCAGAGTTTCTTCCCCCACGAAAACAATTACCCCCCCCCCCCGAACGAAATGAAATTTAAATAGAAAATATATACTTTTAACAGTGTCCGCCCCCTCCCCCCCCCCCGAAGAAAGTCTACCGCCCCCCGAAAATTTCAAGTGCCCCCCCCCCCGGAGAAAAAAGTCTGGAAGAAACACTGCTATACACACACATATATATATATATATATATATATATATATATATATATATATATATATATATATATATATATATATATATATATATATATAAGCCTGTAGGACCTACATATATTGATGCATATATATATAAGCTATATATAAATATGGCATATATTATATATATATATATATATATATATATATATATATATATATATATATATATATATATATATATATATATATATATATATATATATATATATATATATATATACATGTATATATCCTTACAATATAATTCATATCTGTGTGTATTGTTGTTTCATAATGACGTATGATTGTATAACCTTAGCCGTGCAAAACTAAACTGTAATCAAAACCATAACAATAGTTTCGTAATCATAAATGCAGTGCTTGAACTTTGAAATCACCCCCCCCCCATTCCATTCAAACACACACATCACACCAGAGGCGTAGCGACCCTTCCCGGCACCCGGGGACAAACTTTCAATTTGGCGCCCCCTTCGGGAGCAAATTTTCAATTTGCCCCCCCCCCCCCCCCATCAAACTTTCGATTTGCAAAAAGGCAGCTAAAGTGACATTTGAATTTGTTTTTACAACCCATTTTTGCACCCCCTAAGGTCGGCGCCCGGGGACATATGTACCCCCCTGCCCCCCCCCCCCCCCCCCCCCATCGCTACGCCTCTGCATCACACATGATCTTTTTCACTGCTGGCACCACCCTCAGTGGCGGATTAAGGGGGGTGCTGAAAGGGCTGCAGCCAGGGGCCCCCGAATTTTAGGGGCCCCCAAATTTTGATTTCTCAACTACAGCAAATATTACTTTATCATTGATTTTTTAACAGCTTAGTTAAATTATTTTTTTAATGTCAGAAGTATGAGTTAAAATTTCACCAAGTATTAACCAGCATCACTTAAATAAAAGCTTTATCAGTGAATGTGCAGATACTCTCTGATCTTTAATGTTTAATGTTGCCTTATTTAACTCTCTACCTGACATCGTTAGGCCTACCGATAGAAAATGTTTTGAAAACCATTTAAAAACACATAGGCCTAGTGTCGAGGCTGAGGGAGGGTGGGGGTGGGGGTATTTGTATGAGGGTTTGTTTGCGTATTGTCATAGCGTAGCTTATATAGATAAATATAAGACTAGACTAGGCCTAGTAGAGACTAATAGGCTAAGGACGGTGTAAACTTGACGGTAGACGATTTTTTTTTTCGAGAGTATGTGTTACATGGGTGTTAAATTTGGGAAAAAACGTCCCAGTTGTAGGGAGGGTCTGATATAGCGAATAGGATGGTTAGACACAGAAGTGTTTTTTTTTAAGTATTGACCTTTTGACAGAGTGGCTTAGAGATTTTAAAAAATGCGAAACATTTCTTGTTCAAGGCACACTGTCACCCGTATTAATTGCACTATAGGAATTGCCAAACCGGCCAAGAGAGAAGAAGCCTATAAATAAAGGCGTTACCGACGTCCCTCACGGTAATACAAAACCGGATGAGACTCTTTTGCATGGCATGGCATCTTTTGTAATACTCGTTAGAAAACAATTATTTCTTTACAGCTTTATTAAAATACATCCGCATATGCATTTTCACTAAAAAAATGGTGGAAAAATCTTGGTAACTATGAAAACGGCGGCCATCTTGAAAAATTAACCCCCCTCGTAGGTTTTCCACCATTCATATAATATTATATTTTATGCCCAATAAAGAATGAATTCATAATCTTCTTCCATATTTTGGGGTACTCAGCTAAAACTTTTAAGTGTATATCTTCAAAATTATTATTAATAGATTCAAGTGCATTTAGAGCTTTCCAAATGTGCACATTGCTCTTCGAATTTATCTGTGTGTGATGACGTCTAACTGCAGCGGAGAGCGCTCATTTTCCCAAAAGAAAAATATTTTAGAAGCACAATGGGACAGCAGAGACTTAGTATGCTCTCACTTATGAGCATAGAAAATGACATTGTAAGCTCACTGAATTATACGTACAGAACTAATAGAAAAGTTTGCTATCAGGAAAGCTCGAAAATGTTCCCTATAAAAGTTACTTGGTCTTTAGTTCTAAGTAAGAAGAAATGTAATAAATGTATGTATTCATAATTTATTTTGCATTGGTAAATAAGTAATTGTTACTTTAAATGCTCTTACTCTTATGTCTCAATGTATTTTAACATTACATTAAATGTAACATTTTTTGTTTATGCCATGGCTTCTGTTAACCTTTAGTACATTCCATTCGACCTTTATTTCTGGGTAGGCTTCTGTTTTGTGATATGTAATTATATAAACTACATGTATATATCTAATATATAAAGCTCAGTTCTGTATGTAATACATATGTTTGTCGCTGGTCTTCCATGGATTAAAGCGTTATAATATTATCGTGCGCATTTCTCTAAATTTATGAGTTAAAAAATTACTATTGAAAGTGTTGGGAAATAATTTTCATTTTTCAAATTATAGTAATAATTGTCGGCGTGTTCATTAAACACAAGTTTAAAAAAAATATCATCTTTTACAAAAATTCTAATTATGTCTTTATTTAGTCCTATAGCATTTACTTCCCTTTGATAAATTAGGAAAACACAATTACTTCCCTTTATAAAACCATTGCATTTACTTTGCATTAATTTACTTTTTATTACTTTGTTTTGGTGTTGGGAAAAAAAATAATTACATAATTAGCGGGGATTGATCAAGTGCAAATGTTGTAGGTATTTTACGGATAAGCTTGGAGTATTAAAATTGTTCATTAAATTGAAACAGGCGCGTTCGTTTAAGTGAGTGCAAAAGACTATGAATAAGTTGGGGTACTATAGTCGTTCATTAAGCTAAAACAGGTGATTCCGCCCCGGGCGTTTATGTTCGCGTTAGTGTTTTCTTTGTGTTTAGGTGGGTTTGCGTTAGTGGTTGCGTTTTGATTTGGTTCGTTTTTGTTCTTTCTTTTTTCGTTTTTGTTTGTGTTTTTTTTGTTTGGGTTTGTATTTGTGTTTTTGGTTGGTTTTGCGTTTGGATTTGGTTTGTTTTCGTTTGCTTTCTCGTTGTTTTTTTTGTTGTTGGTATTGGTGTTTGTGGTTGGGTTTGTTGTTAGTTTTTTGTTTTCGTTTGCTTTTTTGTTTGTTTTTTCTTTGTGTTTGTATTGGTGGTTGTGGTTGGGTTTGTTGTTAGGTTTTTGTTTTCGTTTGTATTTGTAATTGTGTTAGCGTTATGTTTGCGTTTTGTTGTTTTGGTTGGTTGTGGTTTGGGTGGGCAATGCCGGGTTTATGATGATTACTAAACACACAGGTAATGGTCTTTAACAGAAAGGTTTTTCACAGAAGCCAGAGCAGGGCCTGGCCGGGACGGCTAGTATATATATATATATATATATATATATATATATATATATATATATATATATATATATATATATATATATATATATATGTATATGTATATATATATATATATATATATATATATATATATATATATATATATATATATATATATATATATATATATATATATATATATATATATATATATATATATAGTTAAGGGGGGCCCCGGAAAAAGTTTCAGCCAGGGGCCCCGCTGAAGCTTAATCCGCCCCTGACCACCCTAGCTACCTCCCTGAATAGGAGATTTAATTCCGAATCAACATGACCAACACAGGTAGTCATAGATCTAATAGATAATGTACGAGGCCCGTAGCGCACAGTGATAACAATAAAGTCGGTCAATGTTCAGACTTACAGTACACTGTTATACAATGGGACTGCGCAGTCATGTGTCAGTGTGACACAGCCACTAAGGGAAGCCACTCTTTTATTTCGTCGTTGATTGCTAAGACTAGTGCAATACTCAATACCCCATTCATTCAACACGGCCGGGGTATCTTCGTCACTCTGGGTATAGTTATATTAATATATTTATTAGATTAGATTAGCGTTTAGAGAGATAGATTCTATTACTAGATCTAGATTTATAACTAGAATCTGTCTTATAAATGAACATTGTACCTTTCTTTTTGTAAGTAGATCTAGATTCTAGAATCCAAGCCAATTTTAACTTTTTAAATTTAGTCGAGACTCCTAGAGTCTAGTCTAGTGTCACTCTAGCCCTAGCTAGACTCGTCTAGAGTCTAGTACTGTAGTAGAGTCTAGGCCAGTCTAGGCTCTAGCTAGAGTAGAGTCTAGCTAGAGTCTAGATTAGTCTAAAAGAATCTCTAGATCTAGAAATCTAGATCTAGATCTCTAGGCCTAAATTACTAAATTTACTAATTTAGGCCTAGATTCTACAAATTTTAATTTTATTTGAATTTTTAATTTATTTGAATTATTGGTAATCTATCGTTTTGGGTACGTAAAATAGCCCGCGACTAGTAATGTGAAAAACAGGTGACTCCTTAAATTTTAATAATTATTTCACATTTTGAGGAGGATTTATGTTTTGAAAAATACAACATTTTTTCCTTCTTTCATTTATGTACCTGTTTTTAAACAAATGAATTAAAACTTTTCAGTAATAAATGAAGACTAGCGATGTTTCCAACAGATGCAACCATGCTCATTTACTATAGCAGCCATCTTGTTTAAGTTTTTTCTTTTTGTAAACTTATAGCGGATATAGCGCACAATTCAGGGGGAAGCCATTCTATTTTACAAATGGCTGCTGTTTATATAGCAATCCTTGCTCACAAACACTGCTGTTTAAAGTTAATTTCTGGCATATATTGATATATTTAGCCATTGATTTAGGCTTATTATTAATTTATCTGTAATATTTGACACAAATATATCACAATATACTTCTATTAAAGCCTTGACAATGAGGTAACTTTTTCGTACATTAATAGCCGCGGGCGATTTTACTTACCCAAAATGATATATTACCGAATTATTAATATTTTATTATCATGGCCTGCAGATCTAGAATCTAGACTAGATCTAGATTTGGTAAAATCATGATAAAAATGATAGATCTAGCACTAATAGTATAGGCTAGTAGCCTATAGCGTCGTAAATTATCCGGTGATTTTTGTTGAGTTTCTGTAACATTCGTTACTGTAAACCATAGTTTATTTGACCGTTGAAATAAAAAAAAAGTCTTTTAATGACTGACTACTCCATGGTTTTATTGTTTTTTACTGCTGTACAATAGTGTACAATTCCAGAATAATAACCGACGCTATATACTATATCGTGATTTTACCAAAACAAGTAAGTAAGTAGAAGAATCCTTAAGGCCTAACAGATAACTAGGGTAGAAGATTAGACTAATAACTAGACTAGATCTATCTAGAACTAGATGTCTACTCGTAATATAATTATTTTATAGTAGTACTAGTAGGCCCTATATTTTTACTCTTCCATAAATGACGTCACACTCATAATTTTGTGTGTGATGAGGGGGAGGGGGGTTCAGATGGTGTGACATCACACTTTTGCATTATAAAAAGCAATGTTAGAAGATGAGTTTCGCCTTTTATTTCCGCTTTTTCGAAAACTGTAAACAATCTTATCCTCTTGGCTCTATAAAATTTTGACTGATTTCAGGTGACATGTAGTAGTATTTTCCGCTATTTTTTATTTCTTCGAAAACCATAAGGATTTATTTAACTATCTTGTGTCCATCATGGGTAAAAACTTACAAGCAAAATTTTGAAGTCTTTTACTGGATGGATTAATTTAAAACTTTTCACGCATGTCAAGAAGACAAAGTAAAGCGACATAAAATGTTACGTAATTAGATGTTTAATAAACTTTTTAAAAATGAATCAAGGTTTTCTTGATAAAGTACAAATTTTCCGTACTATTAAACACACATTGTTTGCTGTTTGTTTGGTGCACATTTCTTTTGTCTGTGCGATTATTCTCTATTTGAAAATTGATAAAAACATGTCTATAGCTTCATTGAACTGGAGTTGCCATCCCCCTTAATGTTATAGGGCTGGTAAGTAGGTCACCAACCAGTTCTATGGCTCATTAAGTTTTTATTGAGCTGTAGAACTGGTTGGTAACCTACTTACCATCCCTATAGCCCAATATTCAAGTAAGTTTAGGGGAGAACACTCCTGCTTTATTTTTTTTGTAGATTTTTTAAATTAGGAGGAAGTCAGAAGGTGCATCATGGTCTGGCACCCTCACTCACCTGTATATATCTGTATGTAGAGGATATCTATCTCCCACATACCAATTCCTTTCTATCCCAAATAAACTGAACTGCCAGATCTGCTTATATGACACTTTAACCATTATCTTAGCGTCACGTATGTTGTTTTCAGAAACAAATGTATTCGTGAGTTTCTATTTGCTGAGCTGTGTAATTCTTCACATGTATTTGACCTTTTTTTTATTTCTAGCTTTTTTTTTTTTTGCGGTTTCATAAGCCATTGAGCATTCTCTGTTAAAATTCATTTATAAGGTTAAAAATTTTGGACTTTTTGTAGCAATTTTCAATAACAGCAAAGTTTGCATTATTAAAAATTAATAGCCATGTATTAAAATCTGAAAATAGGGGTATTGCCTTAAGCCATTAATAATTTTGGCAACAAAGAAATATTTGAAATATTGTTTCAATATGGCAGCATGCAAATATATGTTTGAGTTTAAATTTAATAACAATACCATGTTATGTCAGAACCTTCATTATTCCATTTATTATTTCAAAAAAATATTTACCCCTAGTTAATTTTTTTTCTTTGTTTAATAGCCAATAAGTTTTTGTTTTATAAAAATACAAATGGCTATGACTGCTCATGTTTTTTTTTTCCACTTTAAGATATAGATAATTTTATCGAAAAAAAAACCATTTGTAGAGTACTCCGTAGAATAAAAGTATTGTTTATCACTCTTACCATCTGTATAGAAATGTAGGATTGGCTAATCAGTAAAAACTAGCTGTTTATTCCCTAGTCTCTGACTCAGGTTTATATTTAGCTTTGCACTAAGTAATCTCTGGGTCACCTATTGTGTGATTCTGTAAGTTCTATCTTGTCTTCCAACTGGGACATAAAAATTAGTCACATTCATCCCACACTGACTACAGCTAATCAGCCACAAACTTTTTTTAAATGCGATTGAGGAAAAAAAAAATATTATCTTGTGCATGGACAGTTCAATAACTGTAACAACCTATTTAAATTTTTGTTTTATCTTTAGTGGAAGTTCTCTTCAACCCCTTTGGTTTGTCACTGAACTTTGTAAACAATAAGAAGATATACTTCACTGATAAAGCTCGCATTTGCTTTGTACAGCAACTGATGTAACCATTTGCAAGAGACAAAGTTTAGAAAATTATCAAGTAAATATATTTAACCTTTGTTATTTTTTTGTTTTTTTTTAACTAAAAACATTTGTTACTACATCAAAGAGTTATGTAATTTATAACTAAATTACTCTGTTATATTTTATACAATTTAGTATCTAATTTTAAAATGAAGTTAACTAACATAGGGTTGTTTGTTTTTAGCTGGGTTTTTTTTTGTATTTTTAAAAGTAAATTTTTGTTTCATTTTTTATGTAAAGATTTTAAATATACGTGAAGAATGATGCTTTTCACAAGATAATTATCTGTTATATAGTAATTAAAAAATTAATCCCTTATAACACATATGTTCATGTTTTTAATAAAAATCAACACAAATATTCTGAAAATACTGCAATAAAGTGTTTATATAATTTTGAAAAGACCTAGTTACTTATAGTATTTTTATTATCAGCTTTACTATTCATACATTATCTCTAAGGTACTTTAAAATTAACATGTTTACCATTGTTTGCTTTGTTCTTCTTGTTGAAAACTCAATATTGGGTGCTAAAAAATAGAATTTTTAATTAAGATTTAAACTTTGATCATACCTTTTTGTAACTTTTTACATTTGGTTTATATATTTAAAGTCATAAGTATTAATAAAATGAATAAAATAAAATGTTTTTCACTCACTTGGTTAAAAAAATTGTATTAGCTGCTGAAATAAATATCAACTATACTTTAAGATGCTTTGAGTCTGGGATAATATCATTTGGCAACTACCATTTGTAATTTGTATTTTCTATTTTTGTTACTTTTAAGCTAACATCATTTTAATTTTTTTTTAATTTTAAATATATATTTGTAGGTGCTGAAATAAGTATCGACTATCCATCCAGACACTATGGGCGCACTAGGATTATCTACATATATTTTGCTCAGCTTGTTACAACTTTTTACATTGGACACAACAGCCGCAGTTCAACAAGGGAGACAAACATATTTCCACACCCTCACTCGTCCTGTTCAACTCTCACAACTGCAGAATGACATCAAAGAGCAACCCGTGCTGCAGGAAAGTCTGGAAAATGTTGTAGATCAGCTACAGATCCTGCATACAAAATCACCTTCTAAAGGTTTCAGTGCTGGGGTTAAGGGTGATCTCCCTTTATTGGGTCATGTGAAAGACTCTTTGCTGGGTGTGTCAGAGGGTGGCTCCACTTGTTTCAATGACACTGGACTTATCATCACTAGTTTGTTGGGGAAGAACAACTCATGGGCACTGCATTGTAAGTTACCTTTTTTTTTAAATAAGACATATTTTTTAACTTAAAATTTTGGTTTAAGTAAGTTAGTATTAGTATTTAGAATACTGTAACTGAAAGTTATGAAAAAAATAGGTAGGCCCTATACTTTCCATGCAGTTTGAAATAATTAAATTTAAATTTTATTGCTAACCCTGGGGAGATAGGTTAGTTGGGGACAGCAGCCCATCTAGGAGAGAAAACTCTAAAATTAAACAACTTTTGACTTGCTGGTTGTTGTTCTTGGTTGGAAGCAAATCCAGAGAAAAGCAGGGTGAAGCCAGATTTAACAGGCCAATTGTTGCATAACATTGACTTGAAAACTAAGTTACAGTCATATGACTACTAACACGAAAGTCTTGATGGGTAGCTTACTCGTATTAGGAAAAGTGAAGACCACTGGGCATAGTGCTGAACACACTATCCCTTTATATGCCGAGGGAAAAAAAACAGGTTAACTCTACGTGGACAGTCAAGTTCAAAAGTGAACTTTACTTTTATTTTTATTTTACTAATCTATGTTGGAAGAAATCCCCTTCATTATTAAAAAATAATAATAAAGAAGACAAAAATATTAGCATTATTGAAGTTCTGTTTTTGAATGTGAATTTGTTATGTAAATATTCTTGCCTTTTTAAGTGTTGCTATAATCATTTATAATTATTTTTTTTAAATTAAAATATATTTATAGTTCTAGATGCCATGGGTAAGCCTGCACCGGGCATCCTGTTGTATAGGTTCAACTTTGTTGGGAGCTACAAGGAATGCAGGTCATCTGAAGCACCTACATTTGCCTCTGGTAGGAAAGGATTCAAGGGAAACTACTGCACACTTGGGTTGTCCCTTCCTGTGAGTTGTTTTTCCATACCTGATAGAACTCTGCTTGTTTGGTGTAAAAGTTGTTCCTCTTTGTATGCCTCGTAATTTACAAAATCAAAACCTGACTATAAAAAAAAGTAAAGTTACCGTTACGAACCTGGCAGATGAAGTAGAGTTCACCTGTTCCTGTGAGTGACCTCTGTATGGTCAGTAATATGTCCAGCCGCATTTACTATCCCTTACTTGAATCAGGTACACGTTAGATCTGGGTGGCTCAGGTTGTCCTATGTACTCATGCCCAGTATCCCAATTCAAGATTTCCTGGTTAATAGTTGTACTCCCTACCATCTGAAAGTGCCATCTCTCAGCTGTTTTCCCATAATAGGAAGAAAGATGACATAAATGCAGCTAAGAAAAAATCAACATAATATATTCACAACATAACTAAAATAATATCAAGAAATATTGATTTAGCAATTCTAAATAGACTTTTACAACCTTCTTTATATATTTATTTATTTTTCTAAATACAATGAGTTTCATTCAATACTTTATCATCAATTTTTTTCGCTCCTGTACTTCCTGATCCAACTTTTTAAGAATCCCTATATATTTTTATTTTTGCAGGGTGGTGGCTCTCTGATGGGGATGGGAGCAATACAGCTGGGGGCTTGCATGCCTGACACATGTACAGAGGCTGATGGTGACCTGTTAATGCAGAAGTGTAAGCCCACAGATTTTAAATCATAAACATTCTTGTATTTATAAAAAGTATAAATTACTTCTTAAACTTATATGTTTAATTTTTTTTTTTAAATTTGACTTTGAAGTTGTGGGATTTTTTTTTCATTTAGTTTTACAAGGGGAGATAATGGTTAATATTAGATATTTTTATCTTTTTCAATATTTATTTTAGCTATTAATTTCTTACACTATAAGATACTACTCAATGTCATTACACAGACCTTAGATTATTTTGATTAAACAACAGAAGAAAAATTAAATGATCCGAAAAATAATCACCTTTTTACAAAGAATAATATTCATAGCATCCTAAGGCATCTAACTCCTTTTAATATTTTAAAATGCGAAGTAATTCACATAAGCCTTCACATTTTTATAGGTTGCTCTGGCAGAGTTTGAATGAGTTGGTATATATTTGGCTAGATGACTGTCAGTGTAAAATAATATTATTTGTTAAAATAATTAATCCATCATGAATATTTCATTTAGAAATTATGAACTCAGCTTTTTAAAATACTTTTTCAGTTAAATAGTTTTAATTCATTTATTTATAACTGCAACTTAGTTCTTATTTGTTCTAAATTTTTAGTTTGGGTTTCTTTTGTCATATGCAGTGTCACAGAGACTAACAAATGGCACATTGTCACCTGCCCCCACTCAATGCCACACAGATGACAGAGAGATGACAAATGCTACTATAGTATCTATGTGAGTATCTGGTTGTATCTGGTCATTTCAAGCGGCTAGCATATCCCCTTTTATTTATAGTTTTCTTGGTCACATGTGCAGTTTATTGTGAAAATTAACAATACTAACAACATCAGGAGATGACAAGTGGTACTGTAGAATACAGGACTGCTAATCTGAAAGTCCATAGTTTGAATCCCAGCCTCAAATCTGAAGGACTTTCATGAGTTTACCAAGCTAAAGACTTCTACTGCTCTATCTGTCACCAGGCCTAAAAAGGTCATTGCTTATAGGTGTGGATTTTTTTAGGGCTATATATTAAATATCTTCAAGATATGCTTCATTTGTCAATTATAAAAAAAAATTTAAATACTTGAACATAAAGGAATAATTTGAATACAATTACAGTAAATTTAAAATAGATAAATTTAAGCTATTTAATAAATTATGCAACTTCTTTTGATAATCTTAAGTTTTTTACCATATATGTAGATCTGTTAAAGTAAAGATTCCTCTTTACACCTAGCAATCCCTTAGGCAGAGAGAGTAGATTTCTTGTTTCTTGATCTCAGCATAAGAAGGGATGGTGTGGTAAGCACTTTGACCAGCCACCTTTACTTTCTGGGTTTCTCTACACACCAGAGCTGGGTTGACTCGGGGATGTTCTACAGCCACAAGTCCTAAACAGCCATAAGCTTTACCATTCAACCACGCTGTTCTACTGTATAGATATGTATATCTAAATTGTTTTTGTTACAACTGCAAATCTCACCCTCTAGAGTTGTCGTGTCTGTGATCCAGCCACCTTTACTTGCTCCAACACACCAGAGCTGGGTCCTACTGTATAGATATGTATATCTAAATTGTTTTTGTTAAAACTTCAAATCTCACCCTCTAGAGTTGTCGTGTCTGTGATCCAGCCACCTTTACTTGCTCCAACACACCAGAGCTGGGTCCTACTGTATAGATATGCATGACTAAATTGTTTTTGTTCATCTCACCCTGTAGAGTTGTCGTGTCTGTGATCGTCTTCCTGATGGTTGTTGGGACTGTGGTGGACATCCTGCTCATCCAGCGCCCCAAGTGGCAGAGTGACGTCTACAACAGTGGTCTGGTGACCAACCTGAGGAATCCAGAAACCAACGGCTACGGAGCTGTGGATGTTAATCCAGTGAATGAAACCACCAACCTATTGGGCCTCCACAGTGAGCCACAAGAGGGTTTGTACAAATATATATATATTTACGTATATATAGAAGAGGCGAAAGCAGCTGGGCACACATGGGCACAGCTAAAGGGGGCAGCCCAAAACCGAGTCCGATGGAGGGGCTACAAAGGAATGATGATGATGATGATGATCCAAACTCAAGACTGTTGGGTTAGCAGTCAAGAGCTATATCAATCTGATAATGTCGTCCCACATATGCATATCACCTATTTAAGTTAAAATTTGTTTTTAACAAATATTGGCAATCATCTATTCCAGTATAAACAATTTATTATTCATTATTAAATATGAAATGTAAATTTCTTTGGAGGGCAATATATTTTTTTAAAAATTGTTGTTTCTCTTTTGCTTTTAAGTTTAGGGTTAGGGTGTCAATACCAGCACACACAAAAATTGCTTTCGTTCTTTTAATTCAGCTAAAAAATAAAATGGTAAAAAAAAAAATATTTTTCCAGGTATTTGCACAAAGATTTTGGTTGCTTTTTCTGTGTACACAAATGGGCAGAAGGTACTTAACACAGCACAGCCAGCTGGATCACTTAGCTCTATCCATGGTATTCGATTTATCAGCATGACCTGGGTGATATTCTGCCATACCTACATTTTTGGGCTCGGTACAATTGGTGAGTGGAAGGTTTAGCTTGTTTGTTTAAATATATTAAAATTAAATTTTTATTAAACTTTTCAAATAGGAAAAAAATTCAATTTTTCACAACTTAGAAATCTCAATTTAGGTTTGCGTTCAAATTTTAAAAATGAATGGTACAAAATATTTGAGGTAGTTTGGATTAAAGAAAATTAAATTTTACATTGACTCTTTTTTTTACAAAAGTTAGCAAAAATTGTGTTTTCTGTTTGTGCTGTATGCACATTTACACTTTAATTCTTCTACTAATGCTTTGTTATCTAATTTTTTTAGCTAATGCTTTAGAATCTTTCCCTGAGTTACTAAAAAGATGGACGTTTGACCCAATAGCTAATGGATTTGTTTCTGTTGATACTTTTTTCACATTAAGGTAGGTACCAAAAGTATAGTTTTTACTTAAGTATTTTAAGTATTACTCCAATTTGAAATAAACTATCATTCCTTAAAGTTCAGTAATAACTAAATTTATTTTAGACTCTTATAACTAGACTATTCAAACTAAAAACATATTTTAACTACATAATTTAAACATAAGCTATACATTCTTAATTACCTACCACCTAAGTAAGGTAATCATATCTGTATTTAATGAACAGCAAATAAATTGAATAAATATTTCAATTGATTTCAAATTATATTAAACTTTAACTATTTTTACTTTTGTGTTTGAAATATAAACATGATTTACGTAAAAAAAAATATTTTTTTAAATAACAGTGGCTTACTGACAGCTTATCTAACAATCAAAGAGATGAAGAAATCTGGGTGGAAAATCAACTGGGCACTCTTTTATTTTCATCGTTTTTGGAGGTAAAACGCTACACATATGAAAATAATAATACGTTTATGCCCTAACACTCTAGTTTGTCTATGTCCACCTTTTTTTTTGTGCTGATGGCATAAATAGATGACATCTTACTACACTAGGAAGTTTGCCGTAGTTAATTAATATATTTGACTTAACCTTAAATTTTCTGCCTCAGCTCACTGTTGCTTGTCTTACATATAAAAGACTCCTATTAAGATCTAACGAACCATTGACCAGATAAAGTAGAGTTTATATGAAGGGATGGTGTGTTCAGCACTATTCTCGACCGCCTTTACTTTCCCCAATGTAAGTCAGGTACCCATCAGACCTGAGTGGACTCAGGTACATCATAAAATTTTAAGGTCCGAACTGACATCCGAACTAGAGACTTCCGGGCTAGCAGCCAAAGGCTCTATAATTTGACCTCGCCATCCCATATCTTAGTATATAATTAAGTCTAAATTATGCCTATTGTTTGTTTCTAGGCTAATGCCTATTGTATGTTTCTAGGCTAACTCCCCCCTACATGCTGACGCTGTTAGTCGTGCTAGGCTTCCAGCAGTACCTAGGCTCCGGTGCCTTATGGCCGACAGTCCAGCCTGCTGACAGAGACAACTGCAATGACTACTGGTGGACCAACTTGTTGTATGTCAACAATCTTGTTGATGCTGATAAAATGGTTGGTTTGTGAAAACTTTTTTTATTAATTTAATGTTGGTGGACCAACTTGTTGTATGTCAACAATCTTGTTGATGCTGATAAAATGGTTGGTTTTGAGAAAATTTTTGTTTTATTAATTTAATGTTGGTGGACCAACTTGTTGTATGTCAACAATCTTGTTGATGCTGATAAAATGGTTGGTTTGTGAAAACTTTTTTTATTAATTTAATGTTGGTGGACCAACTTGTATGTCAACAATCTTGTTGATGCTGATAAAATGGTTGGTTTGAGAAAAACTATTTTAATAATTTAATGACTATTGGTGGACCAACTTGTTGTATGTCAACAATTTGTTGATGCTGATAAAATGGTTGGTTTGTGAAAACTTTTTGTTTTATTAATTTAATGTTGGTGGACCAACTTGTTGTATGTCAACAATCTTGTTGATGCTGATAAAATGGTTGGTTTGTGAAAACTTTTTTTATTAATTTAATGTTGGTGGACCAACTTGTTGTATGTCAACAATCTTGTTAATGCTGATAAAATGGTTGGTTTGTGAAAACTTTTTGTTTTATTAATTTAATGTTGGTGGACCAACTTGTTGTATGTCAACAATCTTGTTGATGCTGATAAAATGGTTGGTTTGAGAAAAATTTGTTTTGTTAATTTAATGTTGGTGGACCAACTTGTTGTATGTCAACAGTCTTGTTGATGCTGATAAAATGGTTGGTTTGAGAAAAACTGGGGACGGCCACTCTTCTAGGAGAGACAACTCTAAAATCAACAACTACTGCTTTGTAGTTTGCTCTTGGTTGGACAAAAGCTATGGAAGCAAATCCAAAAAGAATAGCAGGCTGAAATCGGGGTCATTAGCCTCAATGGTGCATATACTTAATTGTGTTGGAGGGGATCCCTTCCAACACTAAAATTAAGAACGAAGAAGAAGTTAGCCTAGTTAGCATAGTTGTATTTAGCAAATAGTCTAGACAAGCTCTGATAGAAGTGTGACTGGGTTGAGAAATTTGATCACCAAAAATGTTATAATTTGAATAATTGACTCTCATTATTTATGCTCAAATACTAACCACAAAGCTCTACACACACTCCTGATTGTTCTTATCAGTAAAATATTAACCAATCACAAATGGTTTCAGTGCTTTGGTCACTCCTGGTACCTGTCCAATGACATGCAGTTTTACATCATCAGTCCACTCATGCTGATTCCTTTCTACTTGTAAGTAAATTTTACAATTTTGTCTGCATGGTACCATCTTAAATATTTACATATTTGTGTGAAAGTTTATTCTATCCTTTTGTATCTGATAGACTCAGATATATCATTTTATTATAAACCTTTAGACTTTTTAAGTATAAAAATTCTATCATTTATTTTCTCCCATTTTAATTATGAACTTGCGTACATTATTTCCTTTTTTTTTTTGTATTTATGAATTTCTGTCTCTCATTTTATGTGTTGTAGTTATAAACTTTCATGTTGTACTTTCCCTTTGTAACAAAAAACATTTGTCTCTAATTATCCCCCTTTGTAAATATGACCAGCTGACTGTCACTCTGTCCTTCTGAAATAACCAACCTTTACACATCAGTGCTTTCCCTTCTGTGAACTGTTTACACAACTTTTGTCTCCCCAGTAATGCCCTAGCTGGCCTGGCATCCTGTGAATTATTTACACAACTTTTGTCTCCCCAATAATGCCCTAGCTAGCCTGGCATCCTGTGAACTATTTACACAACTTTTGTCTCCCCAGTAGTGAATTATTTACACAACTTTTGTCTCCCCAGTAATGCCCTAGCTGGCCTGGCATCCTGTATAGTGTTCCTCCTGGTATGTTTTATCACCACGGCTGTCTTGTCTGTCCAGAACGACTGGCCAGTCACCCTTGTGTCGTTAGCCTCGCCCAACGTGTAAGTACACCAACTACCCCACACACCATCTTATTCACATCATGTCGGATTTTGTTTTTACTTAAATATACAGTGAGTTGGTTGTTGCTGTGTAAACCTTAAAAAAAGAGTATCCGTTTGAGTATCATCGGCTCTTATAAATAAAAATATCATTCAGTTGTGAACTGGGCGCCTGGACACTGGGTCAAATCCCAGTGGACCTTCGGGAACTTTATGGTAAAGCTGGAAATATTAAAATAAATAAATAAATAATCCCTTAATCCTTTATTCGGGTCCCACAGAGTGCTAAGTGTCACAAGGTGATGCCCACCCCTTTCTATGCCTGACCAGTCGGATACCTTTATCTAGGCTTGCCTTGGTCATGAATGCGTTGCTGTTGAAGTTCATCTAGGAACTTTAGCAGGCTGATGACCTTTCCTCTCCTAGATTGGTTGCTGTCCCCTACTATCGAGCCTCATCATCCTAGGGGTTGGAACTTGGGACTTTTCGGTTTAGCAACCATTAGCTTTACCAACCCAACCACACCGACCCCAATTTTAGAAAATAAATGGCTCCTGAAGATTCCATTCCATCCCTAGTATCAGATAAGATTCCATTCCATCCCTAGTATCAGATTTCTTGAAGTGTGCCTTTAAACACCAAGTATTCATTTCTAGTGTAATATATTTTATCCAGTACTAAGGTTTAGCAGATTTATGAGACCCAAAAAATTAGGTTAGCCACACCTGTCCTTGATAAGATAGTTTGATTAGCAACTTCTTCTACGGGCCCATTTGGTGCAATGACTTGCCCTTGTTTTAAACTGAAAATATGCTACATAGAATTATTTCAAAATAGTAGTGGTTTAACTGGAAATAAGTATAATGCAATTAGTGTATACAGATTGTTTAAAAAACTGAATTTAAAAAGTGGAAATAATTATGGTGGTGAAAATTAAAGAGCAGCTACTCTTAAAATATTCAAAGGTACACAACCACTAACACCATTAACCAAAATGTATGTTGTAGTTGCAGTAACTATTAAATGTGTTACTTCCAGTGCTAGGATATTGGACTGGTTTAACCACTATTACATGGTTCCGTGGTGTCGCGTTGGAGCATTTGTTGTTGGTATCCTGGCTGGTTATCTACTAGCCAATAACAAAGGCAAAGTTCACCTGCCTAGGGTGGGTCTAACATATACAATTTGCATGATGGCATGAACACACTTTTTGTTCACTAACTTTTCCTGTCAAACTTTTACTACTTTTATTTATTTGTGGGAAAATGGTTTTTGTTCACTAACTTTTCCTGTGTGAACTTTTACTTCATGCATTTTTCTATATATTACTTGAGAAAACAGTTTTTGTGTACTAACTTTTTCTGTTAAGCTTCTACTAAGTTTATTGATTCCTTTGTTCAATTTAAACTGAAAAAAATTTACATTATTTTTTTTTATTTCACAGGAAAGTTTTCACAAAATTTATTTTTGCTATATTTATTCAATCAATAACATAGGTTTTTATTCTCAAACTTTCACAGCTAATGTTTTTCTTACAACAATTCTATTCATAAAACAGTTGTTAGTTTTTAATTACTTACTCCCACTGGAAGCTTTGGATGTGTATGCACTTTCTGTAACACTCCTATAGCACTATTTTTTGTGTTGCGTGATGTTTAATTGTATCACTATTTTATAAATTTAAAGATGAAATATTGTTCAAAATTTATTCTTTACATCTAGGAGAGACTTGATATTAAAGGACCTCTTTAGAACCTCCAGTACCTTTTATTTCTTAACATTGAAAAGTTATACTTCTTAATCTGTATTCAGAATAGTCTGGGTTTTTTTTAATTGTGAGCCAAAATCAGGTTTAAACACCAGTAGGCCTCGTTCAATTGAAAGAAAAAACTGTACTTTTATGGCCTTAGTTCAACAAAAAACAATCTGCAAGGCAGCAATTGTTTGATTTTGGAGTTCTCTCTCCTTGATGGATTTATTGTCCCCAGTTATAGTGCCTCATCTGCATCTGCCCAATACATCTGGGTTAGCAATCAAACACCCTCCCTCTCGACCACGTCATCCCCTTAGGTAGCTAGTCAAACTTCAGCGTACAAACACTGGTATACTTGAGTTTGTTTCCACAACTCACTTTTAAGGAAGTTCACACATAGTTATCAAGTATGGGAAGGGGGGGGGGGGGGATCAAAGACACTGTGATTTTACAAGCCATATAATCCTTTCAAATTCCCTTATGTGTGAATTTTTGTAACAGAGCTATGGTTAAAAAAGATTTTTATATGCTTTGATGACAGTATCTGTTTGGTCAAAAAATCTAGAATCTAGTACCAAAATGAAAGTTAAAAGGCAATTTTAATATATTATAACCTACATCAGTATTCAGTATATAATTAACATGGTACTCAAATCTGTATCAAACTCTCTTCGTAATCAAACAATTTCCTTGAAATAATTTCAGAGGTGATTGGTTTACAAATTACTACATCACCCCTTGGTGTCGTGTTGGCCCATTTGTTGTGGGCCTGTTTGTTGGGTGTGTTTTGGCTCAACATAAAAAACTGAATCTCCGCTGGGTTGGTTACATTGCTGAGTCCTGTTTTTTCTTGCCAGATCAATTCTTTTACTCCTTGCCAGATCAGTTTATTAATTCCTGGCTTGGTCAATTTATTTATTCCATACCTTACCAGATCAGTTTATTAATTACTTGCTAGGTCAATTCATTTATTCCATACCTTGCCAAATCAGTTTATTGATTATTTACTAGGTCAATTTATTTATTCCATACCTTATCAGATCAGTTTAATTATTCCTTGCCAGATACAATTTTTTTGTTCCTTGCTATTCATTGCCATCCTAAGAATATTGTTTTAAGTAAAGAATATCTTGCTAGCTATGTTTCCTTTCAACTGAACAATTAACTAATTTTTTTTTGTTATTTAATAAAATCTCTAATTTTGCACATTAAAAAGTTAATTTGCTTGATAACTAAGCTTAATACACAATTGCATTTTTCCCACTTTGCTCTCTCCTTTTAACACATTTAACATCCCAGTAAGTTAAAATCAAATTTTCTAGACTTTTTAACACTACCCTGCCTTATAAAGCTCTTATAATAAACTTTTTACAAAAAGCTACTTTTCATGTTGAAAAATTAATTTGTTTAAGTATAAAGTAACCATTGGTGTATTACCTCCTGTGTTGTTTGTAAAATTCAACTAAAGAAATAATATTAGTTTGCTTTTGCTTTATTTCTGTCCTTTTTTGTGAGCTTTCAACACTGTTGATCACCTTGCTTTATAATATTATAAATATTTATTTAAAAATAATTTACACTTTTAAAAAAAAGAAAATAAAACATTTCTAAAAAGTAATAAAAAAGTTATTTTTGTAATAATTTACACCCCTTTAAAATTTCTGGTTGTTTTTTTTAATTAAGCTTATCACAAAGATTTATAATAAAAAAGTTTTTTTATGCTGTAATTTGTAATCTACCATAAAGCTAATAAGACTAAACATTTTTTAATCAAGTCTTCGTAAAATTTACAACAATATATCTGTAAACCTTCAACACAGTGAAAAAAAATATATCAAAACTACCAACTAAATAGCAATTTATTTTCAGTATGCTGTCGCGGCTGGCTGGATTGTGTCCATAGCAGTAGCATTGGCTGTTGTGTACGGTGTCCATGGGGACATTACAGGGGAAAACCCCTCCTCTATAGGAACTGCAGCCTTCTATAACGCTGTAGCCAGGTCAGCTTGGGCTGCTTGTGTGTGCTGGGTTATTGTGGCATGCTCTTCTGGCTATGGAGGTAAGTTCAGCAAAATGCATTGCTCTTTATAAATTTTTAACTGGTGCAAGATTAGAGTTTGGTTGTAGTTCAGAGTATTTTGTTTACATTTTTTTTAAATTCTCTATAATCAGTTAACATAAAGTAAAGTGTTGCTGTTGAATTTCAACTAGGTGAACAGTGCAGTGATTGCTAACCACATAAAGTTTAAAATACTGTTAAAGTTTATTGCTAACTACTCCAAGTTTAAATAATGTTAGTTATAATTTAATTGCTGGATTCAAACTCGAGACTTTTGGGATATCAATCTACCACTAGGCCACGCCATCCCCGTATGTTTAAATGTTGTTATAATTTTCCTCAGGTTTTATCAACACGTTTCTATCATGGTCACCATTTGTCACCCTGGGGCGCCTGACATACATGGCATATCTCATCCACCCGTGCCTTATATACGTGTATTACCAAAACCAAGAACAACTGTATTACCTAACTGATATTAGTATAGTAAGTATTCCTTCACTTAATCAAAACATTGATAACAACTGTATTACCTAACTGATATTAGTATAGTAAGTATTCCTTCACTTAATCAAAACATTGATAACAACTGTATTACCTAACTGATATTAGTATAGTAAGTATTCCTTCACTTAATCAAAACATTGATAACAACTGTATTACCTAACTGATATTAGTATAGTAAGTATTCCTTCACTTAATCAAAACATTGATAACAACTGTATTACCTAACTGATATTAGCATAGTAAGTATTCCTTACTGAATCAAAACATTGATAGCAACTGTATTACCTAACTGATATTAGTATAGTAAGTATTCCTTCACTTAATAAAAACATTGATAACAACTGTATTACCTAACTGATATTAGTATAGTAAGTATCCTTCACTTAATCAAAACATCGATAACAACTGTATTACCTAACTGATATTAGTATAGTTAGTGTTTCTTCTTCCCCTGTGAAGTAACATAATCTCACCACAATTCATTAAAGTGTTTTCTCACCTGACAGGAACCTTATATCACCACAATTTAGTAATGTGTGAAACTATCTAATCTAACCATAATTTAGTAATGAGTTATCTCCCCTGTAAAGTCCCTTTCAAACTTGATATGGGGCAAGTGAAGTAGAGTTCACTTGTTTCTGTGACCTCGGCATATGAAGGGATAGTGTGGTCAGCCCTATGCCCAGCCGCCTTCACTTACCCTAACGTGAGTTAGGTACCTATCGGAGCTGGGTGGACTCAGGGACGGTCTTCTGGATTGAACCCGGATTCGAACTCAGGACCTACGCGTTAGCAGTCCAGCTCTCTACCGCTAGGCCACTCTGTCTCTATCTCCCCTGACAACAACTTTATTGCACCATAACTCAGTAATGTGTTAACTCCCCTGACAACAATCTCACCATAACTCAGTCATGTGTTATCTCACCTGACAACAACTTTATCTCACCATAACTCAGCCAAGTATTATCTTCCCTAACAACAACCTAATCTCACCATAATGTGTTAATTCCCCTGACAACAACCTTATCTCACCATAATGTGTTATCTCCCCTGACAACTTTATCTCACCATAACTCAGTCATGTGTTATCTCCCCTGACAACAATCTCACCATCTCAGTAATGTGTTATCTTCCCTGACAACCTTATCTCACCATAACTCAGTAATGTGTTACCCACCATGACAATAAATTTATCTCACCATAACTCAGTCATGTGTTGTCTCCCCTGAAAACTTTATCTCACCATAACTCAGTAATGTGTTGTCTTCTCACCATAACTCAGTAATGTGTTACCCCCCCCCCCCCCTGACAATTTTATCTCACCATAACTCAGTAACGTATTATCTCCCCTGCAGGTGGTCACTATGTGCGGCATCCTGGTCTGCACCTACCTCATCTCATTTGTCCTCATGCTGGGCTTTGAGTCCCCCATGATCGGCCTGGAGAAAACATTGTTACACAAGAAGCGCAAGGAATAGACAGGCAGGCTTAACCCAGGTAGTAGAATGGTTTTTTAGTTCTATTCATATCTGTTAAGTTAGGTAACGATCATTAAAGCTAGATAACTATCAGTAAAGTTAGGTAACGATCAGTAAAGTTAGGTAACTATCAGTAAAGCTAGGTAACTATCAGTAAAGTTAGGTAACTATCAGTAAAGTTAGGTAACTATCAGTAAAGTTAGGTAACTATCAGTAAAGTTAGGTTAACTATCAGTAAAGTTAGTTAGGTAACTATCAGTAAAGTTAGTTGGGTAACGATGAGTAAAGCTAGGTAACTATCAGTAAAGTTAGTTAGGTAACAATCAGTAAAGCTAGGTAACTATCAGTAAAGTTCTGTAACTATCAGTAAAGTTAGGTAAACTATCAGTAACGTTAGGTAACTAGCAGTAAAGTTAGTTGGGTAATGATGAGTAAAGCTAGGTAACAATCAGTAAAGTGCCCTGACTATCTGTAAAGTAAGGTAACTATCAGTAAAGTTTGGTAACGATCAATAAGGTTAGTTGGGTAACAATCATTAAAGTTAGGTAACTATCACTAAAGTTCTGTAACTATCAGTAAAGTTAGGTAACTTTCAGTAAAGTTATTATACCTTATCTGCAAAGGAGGAAATTTTCCCAGTTAATTTAGAAATCTTAATTAAAATGATGTGTTATTCATGTAAAGAAATTTTTTTAAATGTTTTTTTTTATTCTAACTACTGGTAGTCAAAGACTTATTTCCCAACATAGTTTAACTGTCTAATTTTATTTGTTTATTAATTTTAGATTTAAAACCATGTGTATATTTATGAATAATTTTCTTTTAGGTCAAGCAGCAGTAGAAAATAGGGCACGCAGTATGCAGAGTTTTGACAGAACATCACTTAGGACTTCACCTGTCTGTTGTAAATGTTTAGCTGCTTTACATGTTTATTATTTTGTTCCTCTACAAGTTTTTTTTTGTTTTATTTTTGTTTTAAACAGTGTAAAGTAAATGATAGTAAGATTCCATTTTACATGAGGTAGCAATTTTATAATAGCATCATTCCGTGTATATACTGTATTGATGAGATAGTATTTATTGAACCATCTGTATAAGAATCTACATTTTGTGATATCATTTTTTATCTGTAATTGTGGCAATGATCACATTATATAGTTTCATGGCCAAAGATTTTTAATACAATTTAAATTTGAGTTCGCTATTTTTTATTGAAACAAATGTATTCAGTGTTATAGAAATAAAAGAATTTTACTTTTTTTTTTATTGAGAACACCTTACATAATTTTACTGAACCTTTAGGATGTGTTACCATAGCTAAAAATTATATTACAATTTGAAGCTTGTGAAAACTCAAATAATAATTTGTTTTGTTTGCATTTGTTGCAAATATTGCCAAAGTTTGTAATTTTTTTATATTTGTTTTGTAAAAAAAAGTCTTTTTATACTTTTTATTTAAAAACAACAGTTTTTTAATGTGAAACTCCATTAATCAGGCTTTAATGATGCAATTTTAATTTGTGAGTACTAAAATTTACTTTTATAAGGCAACATTTTGTCATTGTTGCAACTAAACTTCTAAAAAGTTATAAAACTGTGTACTGTTTCAGAAGGAGTAATTTTATAAATATTTTTAATTTATTTTTAATTATGGCATAACATAGAAGAATTTTTGACTACACATTTCAAATACAGACTCATAACCCCCAAAATGTGACAATGGCAAAATATTTTAGCATTACTTTGTTTTATATACCATAAATTGTCTCCAGTCAAGTCTCAACGAGTGAAAATATTTTGTTTGTTTCGCTAAAATTTGGGTATTTTGTTATTGATTTACATTTTATAGGAGTAAGGACACTTGTTTACAAACATGACATGTTCACTGTGTTGTTTCATCAGTTACTGTTTTACTAGATATTGATTTTTAATTCAAATTTAATGTACACCAACTTACATATACATTTTTTATGTACATTATTATTTTTTTAAGTATTCAGTGGTAAGTTATACACTTTTTTTACTTAGAAATATTAAACCAAATACTACTTTTAATGTTTAAAAAAATAATGGATTGCACTGAAAAACAGTTAAACAAAAATATACTTGGACTTATTTTGTTTAATTGCTAACAAAAATATACTTGGACTTATTTTGTTTAATTGCTACATGACATACAAAGAGAAGTATTTTTTTTTAATCTAATTAGATGAGTTGTATGATGTACAGATTTTATGGTATTGGTTATTCAATATGAATTATAAATCTATAAAGTTATCCCCGTGCCAGTAAATAATTGCCATTTCAGTATTTGTTAAAATACCTGATAATTTTACACATTAAATGCTTCTTGTTGTTTTACTCTGTTATTATGTTGATTGTTATTGTTAACTACTTACAATACAGTTTTACTAATAACAAACTAATGGCATTATGTTAGTAGAAACATACCAGTACCAAAAAGGGGAAAGCAAAACTTTAAAAAACTAATCTTTGATATACTTTTTATTCTAATTTTAATTTCAATAGGTAGAACTGCAATCCTTTTTTTTTTCAAAAATGTGTTCTTATTCTGGAAGAATTAGTTATCTTTCATTTCTCATATTAAATATTTATATCTTAAAATATAAGAAATTATATTTCTAAATAATTAAAATGAAACTTGAAATTGATGTGTTTTCAAAAATTATTCTTTTACCTAGTAGTGTACATATTTTGGATGTGACTTTTTGTTAAGAAAACAATAATATTTGGCAGATATGAATTTATAAAATACAAACTTTGGGGTAACTTATAAATAAATCTTTGGTTTTGTAACAATGCTGCAAATGCTCTGAATATTCAAGGGAAGGCTCAATACTGCAGTTGAACAATATCCATTGCAAATATTTTTTTTTTTAATTTTAGATGTTTGAAGAGTACTGAAAAAATAGGTTTGGGTTATGTGGAACAAATTTTTATATTAACATCCATAATTAGGGATTAAAATTTTTCTTTAAAAGTTGATTGCCCACCACAAGTCATGTTTATGTATCTTCTCAAATCATCTTTCACTATGAAAAATAATTCAATTTTTTTTTTCTATAAAAATGTGAATTAACTCACACTTTTATTATTATTTCTTAAGCATTTGATCAAAACTTTTTTGATAAACTAAATCGTTAATGTTTAGTTTAAACAGAATAAGAGTAGTGTAAAATTTAATTTAATGTGGGTGCAAGTAAACTTTTCTATGTGTGCAAGAGTAAACAATGTCCTTATAGTTCACAAAGTCTGGAAGGTGAACGTACACTAGAAACATAACTACAGCTTTTAATAATTTCATATTGTTTTTTGTTCCTGATGGAATAACTTAGCTGCCTTATGTTGTATTGTATATGTTACAAAACAAGTTGTTATTCAATGCAAATATTCTAAATTGATCACTTCTTTTTATTTATGGAAAGCTATCATCACACTTCATCTATAAATATTGTTCTACGAGATGCATGTTAAAAATATAAAAATCTAATTTTAATTCTGTTTCCTTACTTCTTTTTTTTTGCTACACAATCCTGAATATAAAGCAAGAAAAAAATCATATTTCACCCTGGTTATTAAAAGTACTATAACTATATTAATATATTATTTCCCATTCATGCTCTAGCTAAACTATACACGCAAGTCAGACAACTTTTTCTCAATGTTGTGGCAGAGGCAGAAATTTTTGTTCAAATTTGTTTTCATTCAAACATATGTATATATTATTTATATATATATATATATATATATATATATATATATATTTATATACATAAATACACATAAATATACATTTATATATATATATATATATATATATATATATATATATATATATATATATATATATATATATATATATATATATATACATGTATATATATACATGTATATATATACATGTATATATACATATATATAAATAAATATACATGTATATTTATATATATATATATACATAAATATACATAAATATACATGTATATTTATATACATACATATACATAAATATACATGTGTATTTATATATATATATATATATATACATAAATATACATAAATATACATGTATATTTATATACATACATATACATAAATATACATGTATATTTATATATATATATACATAAATATACATAAATATACATGTATATTTATATACATACATATACATAAATATACATGTATATTTATATATATATATACATAAATATACATGTATATTTATATACATACATATACATAAATATACATGTATATTTATATACATACATATACATAAATATACATGTATATTTATATACATACATATACATAAATATACATGTATATTTATATACATACATATACATAAATATACATGTATATTTATATACATACATATACATAAATATACATGTATATTTATGTATATATATATATATAAACACACACACATAATATTGAACAGCTGTCAATGTTTTAGTATTTGGGTCCATAGTTGTTGGGCCAGAGCCCTTTAACACCCTCTTCCCACACCACTGTATTTGCCTTACTCTGTTTTGCATCAAATTGCATAGGTTAACTATGATTTTTGTTTTTAAATTTGTATACATCCTGGTGTTTTGATACGTTTATCTACTGTATGCCAGTTTATGTTGTTGAATTGCGTGTGTGTTAGATTTAGCCCATTCTCGACTATCAACGCTCTTGAAATTCTATCAGTTGTCTCCCTTAAAGACTCACTAACCTCCCCTTCAGATTTTTATACTTCCAATTTTTTATTCATTTTTTTTTTTTTTTGTTCAAGTTAGTTAACTTTTTTTTTTTAATTACAGACCAAAAAATGTCTTAGACTAAAGTTGGTGTAGTTTTATACGTTTTGGTAGTTTCAAATTTTTTATTTCACTTTTTTGGTCAAGTTAATAATCACAGGCGAAAAAAAAATGCCTTAGATTAGGATAGCATGCCTATAATAACATCAATGTCATTGCCCTAAAAATTAACGTAATATAGACCTGCATAATCACATGTGGGGGAGGGGGTGTAAGTGTAAGAGATGACCTGAAGTAACCTCCCTATATTCTTTTATTAAATATGTCACTTGCTAAATGATATTTTTTTTATAATTATATACAGAAATTTAAGGCAATTCTTTGTTTTGATTATGGAAACGTAATTTCACTTTAAAAAAAAATAAAACTTACATTTTTGTTCTTGCCAACTCTTGTCAAATGCATTTATTATCAGAGCTGTGCTTTGTATAATATTATTTAAGTACCAACCACTCAACATAGGCTGATGAAAGCCAGGGAATTGTTTTCTTCAAACGTTTCAGTCACGGTATCTAGAGGGTCACCCAGTTAAACTGAAACAAATTAAATCTATTATACTTTTAGTTAACAACACCACCAACTACCGGTGTTTCCGTCAGGCATCTCTCCTGGGGAGGGGGATGCAGTGTCTTCCCGGGGCACGTTCACCCTAGCTCTCTTTCCTTCTTTAGTACCTCAATCCCACCTCTAGGATTCAATTGAAGATAATTGCAGGTGATTTCTCTCCCTCCTCTCCTCCCCCCCCCCCCCTTACCGGACAAAATAGAAAAATATATATAAGCCTAATATAAAACCTAATTGAAACCATTGTCGGTCTCCCTTTGGCTTTAGAGCCCTCTTCTCACCCCCCCCCCCCCTCTATAGGAGACAAATGAAGATACCCTTCACACCTTCAAATAATTTCTTCCCACCCAGAGTTTCTTCCAGGCATCTCTTCGGTGGGGGGACGGAGCAAACCCCCCCCCCCCCCCCCGAAGAAAGTCTACCGAACGAGATGGAATTTATATAGAAAACATATACTTTTACTAGTGTCGTCGTCGTCGTCGTCCCCCCCCCCCGAAAACATCAAGTCCCCTCCCCCCCCCCCCGGAGAAAAAAATATCAAGTCCCCCCCCCCCCCCCCCCACCCCCCTCTACACCGAGTGACCATAATTTGCTGAATAACGCCATGACCCTCACAGCGATGTGACATGCAAGTAACCCAACCAAAAAAAAAACCACGGGCACGTCTTCACAGAATTTCCATCACTATGGTTACGTGTTCTGATAATTGAAGACGCGGACGAGAAGAGAAGAAAAAAAAAATAGCACGCAGACAAGACAAAACGATCGGTCACGAGAGGGTCAGTCTGACCTCGTTTCGCCGTCTGGTCACGCGGGAGGACCGAAAGGATTTCAGGAAGACGGATAGACTCGCTCGGCCTGAAAGTCCATTTGGGAATTTGTTAAATGGCTATTTTGAATTGTGGAAGAATACGGTGAATGCTTTGTTTGATTTAGTAAAATTCAGGTTAATTAAATGTGTATGAGCTTTTCTTACGTTTATAAATGTTCACAATTTAACACAATATGGTTCTTTAGCTGGGGTATGTTTCGGTTTCTTTAAAAGTAAAACGAGAAATAATTAATAATAGTGAAAGAATTTGAGAGACCATACTTAAAATGGAAACTGGTTTTTGAACGTATGCTTGACACATACTAATTGTGTCATTATAAATTCTCAATAATATTAGCAAAATATGCAATTTGTTGGGCAGAGTCGTAGGGGGTCATCCAGTGTTTCTTCCAGACTTTTTTCTCCGGGGGGCACTTGAAATTTTCGGGGGGGCGGTAGACTTTCTTCGGGGGGGGGGGGGGCGGACACTGTTAAAAGTATATATTTTCTATATAAATTATATAAATTTCATTTCGTTCGGGGGGGGGGGGGGGCGGTAAAAAATTTTCGGGGGGGAAGCCCCCCCCCCCCCCCCCCCCCCCCCGAAGAGATGCCTAGAAGAAACTCTGGGGTCATCCATTTATGACATCCACAAATCTCCCCGATGTGGACGTCTACAAAAATGTAGTAAATTTCAATATAAATAAAGTCAATCTAGGCCTACACACTGTCAACAGTGCTCAGTAATTTTTTTTTTCAAAATCACTGTTTTAAAAAATAATATTGAGAGGGGTGATAAACTTAGGTGTTAGGTGACGTTATTGTAGATGTTGGGCCCTGGCTTTTTGTAACGATCTGTGGGGTTGTGGTAAAAATCGTTAAGAACATGACGTCACTAAAGATATGGGTGAGCTCAGAGAAGGTATCTATATAACGTCATTTATTTACACGTTGAAGTGAGGGTTTTACGTTTTTGCTATAAAATGCTAGTAGGCCCTACTTCGATTTTTAAACTCAACTCTTGTGCGTCAACCCCACGTTCCTTGAGGATGTGTATACTCTTCCAGTCTTCATTTGAAAAAAAAAAAGGAAATTTTTTTTTATTAAAAAGTAAAATAATAGAAGTCAGACAGGGCAACGACCTAAAATGTAATTTATAGCAAGCTGAGGTATTTATCAAGATTGATTTTTTTTTCCTTCTAAGACCGTATTAGCAGATGGGGTTTTAATAAAGAAACGTCTACAGCTGTAAAAAAAAATAATTTAGCAGCTGTGGCCACGTATGTATGTTAAAGCAATTCGTGGCCAACAATTAATACTAAAATTATGCTTTAAAGAAATTAGGCCAAAAAGTTAATTTTAATCAAAATTAATCTGCCTAGAATATCAAGTAAGGGGAGATAACATATTTTCTTAATTTCCTTCAGAGATTCGTTGACATTTAAAAAAAAAAATAATTAAGAAACAATAAAATTTGCATTAAAAAAGGGCAATTTTAGCTTTTTGCCTCACCCCATAGTAAGATATTAAACATTTTTGGAAAAATCATTGGCAAAACTTGGGAGATAGGGTCGGTAAAGCTCATGGTTGCTATAGTCGAATTTTGACACCCCAACAGATGAGGGCCGACAATTTGGGACAGCAACCCATCTAGAGAGGAAAAAAATCTAAAATCAAACAACTACTGCATTGTAATTTGTTAACGTTGTATGGAAAAAGGCTATAGAAGCTGAAATCATGAGTCAAACGGCCAGTATGGCGCATAACAGGTTGACATGTAATGCTTAATTGTATTGGGGGAGGGGGGAGAGAGAAAATCCCGTCCAACATTACAATCAAGAACGAAGAAAAGAGTTACAATAGTAATACTATATCACTAAAATAATTAATACTGATACTAAATAAATGAGGGCTGTAGTGTGCATTACAGAAATTTTGCAAACTCTATAAATAAGACTAAATTAATTTTTCCTCTAATAGGCCTCCATTTCAGCCAACTTGGTTTAAGGCTTTCAAATTGGTTGTATCTCTCTCAATCTCCAAGCAAACATCGTTTACAATGATGAAAGGAAAAACAAAAACATTTCATTGAACTTTTAATATCAGGCATGCAGTAGCTCAAAATGTACACTGACCATATAATTTATAAACACTATAAAAGTAATAGAAAGAGATTTTTAGATCTAAGAAAAACCTTGAGATTTTTGTTTTTAATCTAGAAAATCATTTTATTAGAGAAGAGAACAAAAATTTAGTTTTAAAAACTGTTTTTAAAGAAGTTTTACAAATAAAACGAAAAAGGCTTTTTTAAAAAATTAAATAGTCAACAGTGAAAGACAGAAGCAGGATTTAAGCTTTCACAAAGAGCAATGAAAAAAGAGTTTAGCATAATATAGGTTGAAAAAGGGAAAGAACTCTGAACACTGTAGTGCAATTTTTTAAACAAAAAACAGCTATAGTAATAGTATACATTACAAATGCTGTTTTAATTAGCATGTAATTTTAAGGTGTATTATTTGTTTTGAAAAGGAAATAATACTAAGAGATATATAAAAGTTCTAATACCTGGAAGAAACTGTGAGAATCATTTGAATTAGTGCACTTTTGAAGTAAAAATATAAAATATACACTGGTATATCAGCATAAAAATAACAATAGAACTGCACCACAACAATAACATTAGCAGCAGTACTATCAGTGGACTGACTAGTGAATCAGAAAATGTCTGTAAAAAAAAATAATTTAAAATGAATAATGCATCAGATGGCTTAAGCAGTATGCAATATTTTTAAAAATAAATTTACACTAAAGGAATTACAGTTGAAGGAAAACTGGGAGGTTGTGTAACAGTCATGATTAACATATCCACATGTAAAAAAAAATAAAATGAACATGGTTTAACTGTTAAGTACATTGGTCAACGAGCTCATACCATTCTTAAGTTAGCAGCGGAGTTAAACAAGTAGAAGCTTTGAGTAAGCAGCACGAGACAGGTGCTAGAGTTAATGCTGTGTTCAGTGTGCTCGCTTCTCTAAGATTTGTTTCCATGGTGAAAAAAATTTTTAAATAAAAAATGCACAATTTTTTGGACTAGAAAGGAGTTAATGAATATCTTAAATTTTGGATTATCTAGAAAGCCACTAGTACTACTGCAGTATAACAATGAAAGGAAATTTTAAATACTGTGTCAAGTTTGGACATTGGAAAACATGAAATTCCGTGTCAAGTTTTTCAATAACTTAGATAATCAAGCAGTACTACTGCACTGATACAATGTTTGGTAATTTGTGTTTTAATATCATGTTTAAACTTGGATAGCTGGGGAAAAAAAACCCACTTGTAACATAATGGATACTTTTGAACTGTGCCACTTAACACTAACTCAATTAGTTAAAACTTAATTACACAACCACAACAAATGACTGCCTTGTTCTTTTAATTACATCAACTTGTTTATTTACATTTTTTAGTTGTATAATTTTTAACATCCTGACCCAACCTCCCCCCACCCCCCTGGTTTTCCAATAAAATTAAAAACATTAAATCCATTTAAAATTATCTGGCAAGGTATTATGTCATGATAAAGGCCATGAATATCGGAGCTTTGGAGAGTAATTTGTTACAACAATATTACAGATATCTCTGGTTAAAAACTAACCAGATTGCACCAGGAGTATATTAACGATAGTTGAATTATCTCATTTAAACACATGACAGCAACCGGATCAGATCAATTTTGTACACATTGAATGCCATTTATTTTACTTTTTTAAAAACTCACTGCAAGGCACCAGGAATATAAATGCTTTGACAAAATTAATCAAGGTTTGTTTTTTTAGCAGAAACCACATGTCTTAATTATCATTAGTCAGACAAAATGATCTTAATCTCTATGGCTTATCTCATTGTAATTTACAGTAATACGGCAGGTAGTACTGAGAATTGTTTTTTTTTTATTAAAAAGTGCAACAATTTAGATCTAAAGGTGATACACCTGAAAAAATTCGTAGGCAAAAAAATGAGTTTGATATTTTATAACAAGGTGAATAAAAGCATAGCGAGTGTCCGTAACCCCCCGCTGGGTTCCGCGAGCGGTGGAAACATTCACGAGTACACGTCCCCGCTGATAGACGTCAGGACATCCAGCACTCCCCCCACAAAGTTGAGGCTACCTGTAGCCAGGATCTGGATGTGGGTGGCGTCTTGCAAGAAGGGTGGAATCGGCTGAGGAATGGCTTGAGAATCAAGTACCTTGACAGTAGGATCTCTCCCTTGGCCAGCCCAGGCAAGTGCTTCTATAATACAGGGGAATATCAGCGACGGCTTCTCGTTAATAAAGCCTGAGGTTTCTGTTGTCTCGAGCTTGCTTAATGCAAGATTATTGTCTAGTAATAAGTTATTAATATTGTCCGTCTCGCTAATTAAATTAGCGTTGAGGATAAGACTGGGCTCAAGGACATAATTAGGCATGTCGCCCACTGGCAGAATGTCTCGGTTGTTGGGGACTTCAACCCCTTCAGGGTCCTCTGTGCTCTCCACAGACATCTTATCACTACTTGCTATGGACATGAGGTCACTGCGGTCAGACTCTGTGGTGGACGCTGAGATCACAGAAGATTTTTCAGAACTGTCAGCATCGCTGCTGTCCAGTCTGGCAGTCTGGGCACCAGCGGGGATATTTTTAACAGGCCACCCTTCTTTCAAGAGGCGCAAGTTATTCTTTTCTCTTTGCGCGTTGGCCACTAGTTTATCCCAGGCCAACTTGTTCCTTTCCACAGTCTCACTCTGGACTTTGGGATCAAGTTTCTTCAGCTGTAGATCTAAACAAGAATGGAAAAAGTTTCACAATTTACATTTTAGAAAATAAGTCTTAACTATTAAAGGACAGCATGGCCTAGTGGTCAGAGTGTTAGACTGCTAACCCAAAAAGTCTGAGTTCAAATCTGGGTTAAATTCAATAAAACGTCCCTAAGTCCACCTGGTGGATACACAACTCATGTTAGGGAAGATCAAAGCAGCTGGGCATAGTGCTAACCACACTATTATTCATACGCTGAGGTCACAAATATAAGTGAACTCTACGTTGCTTGTCAAATAGACCATCAGTTTCAAAAAGGGAACTTTACTTTTACTTTATAAACTTCAACTTTAAAATTTAATTATCTTGATGAGATGAGCAGCCTATCTCTTATTCAAATCAATGAATACATTTTATCTGTGACATATTAAAACAGTGGTTCCCAACCTTTTTCGAGTGGCGACCCCCTTTTATAAAAAGTAAGTGACCCGCGACCCCCATAGAATTAAAAAGCCGAAATTAGTATGGAAATTAATAAGCACTAAAATAAGATTTTCTAGTAGACTTTCAATATGAACTACTCTTGATAACGGTTTTAATAGCATGAGTAAAATTGCATACTATTCACTAAACCTTCGTGGTTAACTTTTTAATTACATTTTGTTTTTGTTAACGCCAACCTATGTCATTATAATTATCTTAATTTTGTTTTTAATCGAAGAATAGTGTTGAAAATGTATTCTCGAAAAGTCAATCAATCTTATGTTTGGGTACGAATGGTGAATACTACACCAAAATTGTGTCTGCAGTTTTTCATCTTACTCGGAATCATTCTGCAAATAAAAGAACTCATCTTGTAATTCAACGGGAATGCTGGCAACATCAAGGGAAGAAGAGAATAGGTAATGCGTAAATGCAGATTCTTCTTTTTTTCAGCTCAGAGAAATAGCAGTCCGTTTTCAAGAGATTCAAGATGTCCAGAAATCGCTTCTTTCGAAATTTTAAATAACTCAAATTTACAATATTTCCAAGATTTATTTTCTTCGCCGATTTTGCAGTTTTGATAAAAGTGCCCCGAGATTATCATGGAAAGTTATAATATCCGTTCATTTTACCTGAAGCTTCAGGTTAAGCTTATCTTGATGTTCGAACACATCTGCTAGGTATGGTACTCTCTCCAACCACCACTCTATGTCGTTTTAAGTATACCAAAAAGTCATGTTTCCTTTGCACTTCCAAGAACAATTTGATTTCAGATTTCAATAAAAAACACAATTTACAACATTTTGTTTGACAGCCAGCGTACTGTAGTGTAGAAGAGTAGAACCTCGTGATCAATATTAATGTTTTTGCTCAGTTCTTTGAAGGCTCCAGATTTTATATAATTTACGCCTTATACTAGCAATGAACTCTTGATGTCAATTGGTTAGGGTAGTGGTTAGGGAGCTGAATCTTTTCTGTTTTCTGAAAGCCCGATTTTGAGCTAAACATAGATGGCGCGCCATCCGTACAAACCCCCACAGCCGTTCTAACCCATTTTAATCATCCAGTTTCAAAAAAGGTATTTATTTTGTCCATGTTATCTTCACAAAAGAGCAACTCTTCTTTGCTATCATCCGCATGAATATAGACACAGAACAGCAACTGCGAACACGAACTCACGTCTGTTGATTTATCAACTTGAAAAGCAAACAATGGTGAAAGCTTAATTTCAATAAAAATGTGTTATTTAACATTTACGTACATGAAGCGTTTGGTGAGATTTTCTCCTATTGTTTTTTTTTTTTTGCTTGGCGTTTTCTATCGCGACTTCATTTGATGCATGCACTAATGCTGTTGAAAACTTCCTGTTCGATCAAGTCTCTGGCGTCTGCAACTAGCTTCTTACCGACGAAAGAACTCCATATATTTCTGGTGTGTTCCGAATGACTTGTCTCAAATGACGTTTTAGTTTTGAAGATTTCATAGATTCGTGACTGAGAACAACTTTGTACAGTGCGCTTTGTTTCTTCTCTATTACATTTCCAGTGATGTTAATGAAGCCGAATTTCAAAAATTCTTCTAAATATTATATTTATGTTGTGTTTCAAATTACTAAGGTTTAGTATACCAGTTGGCGACCCCCCAGAAAGACCTTCGCGACCCCCCTGGGGGTCGCGACCCCCAGGTTGGGAACCCGTGTATTAAAACAAACTTTTAAAAATCCAATAACTGGAAAACAATTATGAAGTAGTTCAATCAAAACTGTTATTTTGAATACAGATTACAATTAACCAAATGTTAAAAATGTAAAGCAAACTATATTAGTGTACCATTACTAACTCTAATTCACTTGCCCTATAGTTATAGACCGCCAGGTTTGAAAGGGGAGCGTTACTTTTTTTTTTTTTTTTTTTTTTTTACTAAATATAAATTCTGTATTCACTTCACAAAAATAGCAGTTAAAAAACTGAAAGAACTGGAACTAACCTGGTCTGCACTGGGATTCTATTGTAGAAACAACAAAGGGACAAAACACAGCAGCATCAAACTCACAGTGCTGGGAATAATGGGGAAGAAAAGGATTAAAAAATAGAAGGCAAAAGACTTAAGGAAATTTCTTTACACATTGTTTTTTTAAGTATTCATCAACATTCCTGTTAATGAATATTTTAATATTTAGAACAAATTAAAAAACATGCTTTGGTTTCAAATTAAAAATTCAAGTACATTATTAGAATTGTAGTATGTCCTACAAATATTTTTTAAAAATACACAATCAAATTACTTATGAATTAGAAATGGGATCTGGTAAGTTAAAATTTTGTTATCTGAAATTCAAGTTGCTCTAAGATTTTACTCACCCTCAGGGGATACACGAGGACCTCAGGATCCCTCTCAGGAGCAGTAAAAAACATTAGGACCCTCACAACCTTACCACCCAGTCTGGTCTTCTCTTTCTCAGCAGCATCAGCAAACCAACCATTACACAACTACAAAAAAAATAACACCGAGTTAAATCATTGATATGACGATAAACTTTTTAAACCTTATTTTTTTCCTATCCACATACCAACAGTTTATTAAGAATAATCATGCAGGGCACGGTGACGTAAAAGGGAAGGTAAGGACTGCATTGGATGGAGGAATGGACTAGGCTTCTAGTTGCAGAATTAGTTAAAACAGCAGAAGATAAAGCATAAGTATTTGAAAAAAATCAACAGTGTTGTCACAGAGGTCACGGATACAGGTGAACTGTTGGACAATAAAATACATAAAGTTATAAAAAACAATAATGCAGGAGGAAGGAGAAGAAGACAAAGATGTCACTGGATGTAGGACCTCAAAGATTGGACTGGGTTGCCGGCTGCAGTACTATTCAGAGCAGCAGAGAGTCGAGACAGATGGCGGAAAATTTGGAGAAAATAAAGTACCTGAACGACCCTAATATTAGGGGATGATAAGGGGATAGATTCATTTTTAAGAAAGAATGTACCTAAAAAGATGAATGAACTGTGAACTGTTCAACCACATTTGTGAACTGTTCAACCACATTAGATATAATACAATAGTGACACATTTTTTTTTTAAAACTTACCTCCATACTTTCCTTAGTGTGTGCACCATCAATATAGTATGTGATCGTATCTCTCTCAATCACCTGGGCTCGACCTGGCCATTTGCAGGTAGAAAGACCTTTAATGGTTGCTTCATCCAAAGTTATGCATGTCAGCACTGGAATATCTGCCAAGGATGTGTCAGCTTTCACTCTGGGCCGCTCAACTGGAATTATATTCAATTCTTTACAGATTAATAAAAGATCAAAAAAGCTGAATTCATCTGGAGAGAAAAAAAATGTAAAAAAAAAAAAAAAAAAAAACACAAAAAAAATCACCGCACAAAGACAACATGGAAGACAACCTAGGCTGAGAATGAGGTTTAAAAAAATGTAATTATCGTTAAAGATCATTCAGATGTTAAAACTCTGCTGCTTTTCCACTCACTTTTGTGCTGATAATCTTCCCAAATGTGGAACAACTCGATGGCTAAAGCAGCGTTATCTCTCTGTTTATCACCAGCAATACTCAGATTGAAGTTGTATTCTTTCAAAACCTCCTCAGACAAAGGACTCACGACACTGAGGGGGCACTGCCAGGATGAAAATTGGTTGCGTCTTTATTTACTGTGCCGGTTTTTTGTTTTTGTTGTAGTATGCATAGTTAATCTTGGACAACAGGTTAGATTTTTTTTTTGTCTTTACAAAATCACCAGTGGAAAACCCCTGCTAGAACAGCGAGAACAAAACAAGACATGGACAACAAAAGAACCAGGTTGCTCAGAGAGTGTTTCAGTGTAAACCTACCTCCATTGATATAGCTCTGTTCAGGATAACTTGAAGAGCTGAATCACACTGCGGGGTGGTGAGAGACGGACAGTGGCACTGTGGAAGTGAAACATGGCTCATAGTTAAAACATATCTTAACTACGTAGCAAAGAATACAGTGTGCACAAGGTAAAAAGACAGCGAGTGTAAAAGACTAACCTTGAAGATGCCGGATTTCTGGAATGCAATGGACTCAATGGTGTCGCCCAGGTCATCTGTGTGTTCCAAGCCAAGAGAAGTGATGGCACAGGCGACAGGGTTGCGGATGAAGTTTGTGCTGTCTGTTAGACCACCAATGCCGACCTCCATGATGGCTATGTCGACACCTTCATTGAGGAATATGTGCAATGAAAGCACTAGGTTAAAGGCAAAGTATGCTGGCATTCCCCTGCCTTCTTCGATGGGGTATTCTGGCTACAAGTAAAAAAAGTATTCAATTAGAGATCTGGCAAAGGCGATAGGGCATTTTCTGCGTAGAAAGGGAAGCAAGTATTAGCAATAAATCTGTATTCAATGAAAAATAAATGTAATCATATATTTATATATATATATAACCTAGATGTCCGATATTATACAATTGTAAAAAAATAATTGAAAGATACCTCTTCAGTTTCTTTGAGTTTGTTGTACACCTTCCAGAAATAATGGCAATACTTTTCCTTACTAAGTGGTCGGCCATTAATGCGAATCCTCTCCCTGACTTCAACAAGATGGGGGGAGGTGAAGAGGCCTGTACGGTAGCCATGGTGACGCAGGATACTTTCTGTGAAGGCACTGGTAGAGCCTTTGCCTTTTGTTCCAGTTATATGGATCATGCACAGCTTATCGACTTCTTTGTCCTGTTAACATAAACAAAAACATGATTTCAATCCATATTGTACAGGGAGGGAGGGGTTGCCTTTTACAATCTTAATGGGCAAAGGGAAAAAAAAACAGGCATGACAATTACTTCCACTAATCCACTCATATGAGTATATTTACTGTAATGTGTTTAGAAGCTTTACAGTTGTATAATAGTTAGTATGCATAAATGTGAGTATAAAATAAATAAATAGACATTGCTGTGGCCTTTTGGTTTTATCTTTCAGAGAGTAATTAGAAATCTATAAGAAACAATGTAGACAACCATGCAGTTGGGGGTGGTGGTGGTGGGGGGGGGGGGGAGACTTTCTAATTCGCAATAATTGCTTAGGACTTTCTGATGTTTAGATACTGGCCAACATATTCTGCGGCAACAGTGATAAAGCCAGAACAATGTATTTTTTCCCCTCTTATTCAGATACACACCATGACTAGGACACAAACATATCAGACCAGAGATCACTGTTAACCATCCCCCATCCCATACACCACTGAACACAGCAGTGAAAGACGCAGTAGTTTTTGTTTTCCAACACTGCCATATGTTACACTAAAAAAACAACAACTGGGAGTGACGTATGGAACAGGAGTCTATACAGCCAACACTGACACTACACATATAAAGGGAAGTTAGTTATCGGTCAATCTAGAAGGGGAGGGAAGCAATATTTAATAAAACAGATAATTTCAAAAACGAGTCCCCCTACGCTTGTTTTTAGTGAGGTTTTTTTTCTTCTCAGCCAGCCTCGTGAACTAATTTATGTGGCGGGTCGCCGCACCGGCAGGAACCAGTCCTGGTCGGTTCTACTATCGATCACAGGGAGAGATTTTCAGCATGTGTGTAAACGGCGTCTCGTCTGTCTGGCACCCTGTGTCCGACTGGTCAATGCCACCCACCACTGTGTGTGTAGTAGTCATTTTTTTTTTAAAAAATAAATCAAGCAACTCCCTGGGGTAAGACTGATTTGAAACAACGACTCGAAGATACAAACAATCAAACCCCCGCAAGACCCCGTATTCACCACGTGTCCTTTGGCGCGAGCGAACTACCAGGCTTAGTAAGATCGATACGCATCTATTACGGGAGTTAAAAATAAACCTTACGTTAGTCTGAAAAGGGCAGGTGTAGACCGCGCGGTATTTTCTAACTTAGAAACAAGTAGCAAACAGGAATAGGCTACAAACACAGCGCAATCCAGTTGGGCTGTTAAAAAGTGTAACCACAAAAAAAAAAACGTGTGAAAGAGATCAACATGGAGAAAAAAAAAACGCATTTATCAAGCCCCTGGTATGTAGGTCATGGCTTTTTTTTTTTTAAATATAAGAGGTCAGGCTACGGGCAAAAAGCATCTTCGGATTTCCCTCCCCCCTTTTTTTTGTCTTGTCTGCTATAAAGAGTTGCTAATGCAATACGCGGTACCTTGTTTGTTGATGGTTGCTATTTTTTTTTTTACTATAACCATCGTACAGCATATCACCTACGCAGCATTAAGGAGTGCACTCAATAGGGCTAAACATACCATTTGTAAGAGGATTTTACGGCGAGCCGGGTCTACATTTCTGAGGGATTGTTGTCGACAGATTAAGCCGACACGTGGAGACTAATGGCTTCAGTGGGTGCTGTATGTAGTGTTCACGAGTGCTAGGGAAATCCTATCAAACGGAGGTTCCAGTCTGTTAACTGTCGAGGGGGAAAAGGTCTTACGTTCTTAGCCTAATAATATGTACACCCACATCCAACTTCTTATGCACTGAACTTCTTTTGCACCCATACACAGAGGCGTAGCGAGGGGGGACGGGACATATGTCCCCGAGCGCCGACCTTAGGGGGGGGGGGGGCGCCAATTTGAAAGTTTGAGGGGAGGGGGGTGTAAATAAAAAGTTCGAGGGAGGGGGGGTGCAAATCGAAAGTTTGAGGGGGGTGCAAATGAAAAGTTCGAGGGGGGTGCAAATCGAAAGTTTGGCGCCGGGTAGGGTCGCTACGCCTCTGCCCATACACCCGTCTTCTCTGTCCAACATAACATTCTCGGCATATACCATAGTCTATGATACGACCAATGGCACAGCGCTCACGATATTAAGAGCACCCCCTACATCCAACTCGTTATGCATCCCTACATCCAACTTGTTATGCACCCCTTCATCCAACCTCTTGTGCACCCCTATATCCAACTTATTTACCCTATATCCAACTTGTTCACCCCAACATCCAACTTCCTATGCACCCCTTCATCCAACTTCTTGTGCATTCGTATTCTTATATGTCCAAACACACTAAAAGAAAACCTCGGCATCCACCATTTAACTCTATACTACCACCGGCACAACGCTCACGATAAGAGGATAGCACAAGACTGAGTTACCCTTGTATACATTTTTTGTTGCGGTAGACAGCTAGGTAAACAAGGGTTAATTATACACTCTAGGCCTGCCCAACACAGATAAGGTGGCTCAAGCTTTCAGCTGCTGCACTGTCTGGTACTCAAAGTGTATAGAAAACTTGCACCATGTGGAGAATACTCAGGAAACAAAACAAAGGACTTTCCTTCAGACTGGTATTTTTTTGTCTTCTTCTGATTTAGCATAAGAGTAAAAGTAAATTGGCTAAAGCCAAACTATGACAAAGTTATGACTAAAGCCAAACTATGATAAAGTGATAACTAAAGCCAAACTATGATAAAGTAATAACTAAAGCCAAACTATGATAAAGTAATAACTAAAGCCAAACTATGATAAAGTAATAACTAAAGCCAAACTATGATAAAGTAATAACTAAAGCCAAACTATGACTAGAGCCAAACTATGACTAAAGCATGACTAAAGCCAAGCAATGACTAAAGCCTAACTATGACTAAAGTATGATTGAAACCTAACACAGACTCCAGCCCAACACTGACACCAGCCAAACACAGACACCAGCCCAACACTGACACCAGCCAAACACAGACTCCAGCCAAACACAGACTCCAGCCAAACACAGACTCCAGCCAAACACAGACTCCAGCCAAACACAGACTCCAGCCAAACACAGACTCCAGCCAAACACAGACTCCAGCCAAACACAGACTCCAGCCAAACACAGACTCCAGCCAAACACAGACTCCAGCCAAACACAGACTCCAGCCAAACACAGACTCCAGCCAAACACAGACTCCAGCCAAACACAGACTCCAGCCAAACACAGACTCCAGCCAAACACAGACTCCAGCCAAACACAGACTCCAGCCAAACACAGACTCCAGCCAAACACAGACTCCAGCCAAACACAGACTCCAGCCAAACACAGACTCCAGCCAAACACAGACTCAAGCCAAACACAGACTCCAGCCCAACACTGACTCCAGCCCAACACTGACTCAAGCCCAACACTGACTCAAGCCAAACACTGACTCAAGCCAAACACTGACTCAAGCCAAACACTGACTCAAGCCAAACACTGACTCAAGCCAAACACTGACTCAAGCCAAACACTGACTCAAGCTTGGTGACCAGTTCCTGTTTAAATACACGACAATCATTCAGATTATTACATTGCTGACATTAACCATATAACAGTTACAATGTTTGGTGGGATGAAACAGAAAGCAACATGTTTCACCAGCATACTTAACACCACAGATGTTTAAGCTAAAAGAAAGGAGAAATTCATCTGCTCCCAGTCACCGCCCACATTTTATGGTGATGTATTTATCAATGATGCTACAGGCATCAGCTTTCATTAACATAATTATGGTAATTTATTCAAAAGACATATGGCCTTCTTCAGTGTTGATAGACATTTGTCCATCTAATAATTTCAGCACTCAACTGTTAAGCAAGAAACAGGAGCAACTGTTTTAGCTAATTTGATATCACCTGCTGTCAATAAAATACTTACAGTAATTTATTAATACAAATTTACAGTAATTTATTAATACAAATTTACAGTAATTTATTAATAAGACATATGGCCTTCTTAAATGCCAATTGAGATAGGCCATCTAATAATTCCAGCACTCCACTGTTAAACAAGGAACATGAGCAACTGTTTTACTACTTTTAGCTACTTTGATATCACCAGCTGGTTTTTGTTTTCACCTGGCAGGCCTATTGCTCTAACCAGCAGTTTTACTTGTATCCAGTATTATTTTTTTTAGAACTAAGTTAAGGCTAGGCTTTGTCGAGGAGTATTAAGCTGTGGGTTTAACACTGCAGTAGCAAAACAATATGCTCAGCTATTACAGTAATGAGAATAAAAGGGAATACACATGTTTGGTAAATAATGTAAAATTAAATTGCATGCCTGAGCACATGAATGACAATTATCAACAATTCCAAGGATTTTGTTTTTTTTATATCATGATAAATATTATTCATAAATAATGCTTTTAAAGACAAAGCCAATAGACTAGGTGGAGTAGTACCTATTTGTGACCTAGATTGTGTGGTCAGCACTAAGGTCAGACCCCTTAATAGGGGTACCTGGCTTGTTAGCTAGTCTGCCTTCTATCACATGGTATGTGCGTTGTCGTGTTCTTATCCTTTCTCTACCCCCCCCCCCCCCTCCCCCCAACATGAAGGAGAATAGTCTGGTCAGCACTAAAAGCTCAGAAAGTTCACTAAATTAGACTAAATGGAAGGCATACCTCTCTGAGATGGGAACTATTTCTAGATTAATGTTAGCTAGTGTCAGTATTTTACCGATTAGGCCATAATGTATGTTGTTGCACCCCCCCCCCCCTGAAATAATTGTGTAGCCAGCACTAAAAGTTTTAAAATTTACTGAATGGAGGTAAGAATCACACCCAGGAACTGATCTCTAGAATGATGTTAGCTAGTGTGCATTCTGCCATAAGGTAGCTGTTTCTCTTCCAAGTATCCCCCACCCCCTAAAACAGTTTAATTTTGTCTATCAAGGCGCATATGTCGATGTGTTTAACTTACTGTCAGCCCCGACCTGTGAATAAACTTGTTGACCATTGGAATGATGAGATCCATCTTGCCCTCGTACTTCAGCCTGCTTGACTGCTCGTGCCAGCCTCTCAGGGAAAGTAATTTGTTGTTCAGTGTCTCCACAGCAGCCTGAAACACAAACATTTCTATTAGAACAATCAACTTGTGATCATGTGTACTAAAAAATAATGACTGTGTAAAAATTAAATACAAATACAGTCAGGGTATCACTAGAATTGTGGTTTGTCATACTGGGTAATATCGCATAAACTCTACAAAATATGATCAGAGATTTTTTTTTTTTCATCCGCTCTCCATTTTTGGAAAGACTGACACTTCAGCATATGTATATTGGAAAAGAATAGAAAGAATCATTATCTTTTCCCCATCTTGCCCAAGGCACAGAAGAAACAGAGGAGTTCTGTTTCAATGACCTCTGCACACAAGACAAAGGGTTGGTGTGTTCAGCACTTTGCCCGGCAGCTTTTGTTTCTCTTAACGCCAGGTACCCAACAGAGCTGGGTGGACTCAGGCAAGTTCTAGAGACTCTAGCCTGTGACCAGATCTTGGGCCATTTGGGTTAGCAGACATGAGCTCTACCATTCAACCATGATGTCCCAGACAGAAAAAGTATCATATGAAGTTATTTATAAAAAAAATATACATTTGTAAAACCGTTCCACACCTACTGGCTGACATAGCCTATTATACTAAGGTATGGGGGAGTGTTTGTATTAATCTGTTCTTCATGTGATTAGGGGATATAGTAAGTGATGCTCAAAATACAAATGTTTATGAACCACCTTTAGTATGAATGGGCATTGCTGATAATACACATGAGTGCTGTGATACACATCACTGATGGAAATCACATCTGTGCTTTATACAGCAGAGAAGCAGCCAACACACCTGACCAAGTATGAAAGCACTAAAAGATGGGGGAAAAATATAGTCCAATGGCATTGCAGTAAATGACCAGTGAAGTACCACTGACTATTTTTTAAACAGTAGGTCAGATTTCTATTACTAGTAACTACACAAGTGGCCAATTTTTTTTTTTTTCAGTCAGCCTTAAAGCATTTTTATTGCTCATTTTAATGTTGAAACAGTTTCAAAATCTGACAATATCCAAAATATGATTATAAACTATTTCAAATTTACAATCACTCTTTTTTAACCCAAAACATGTTATTTCCTACTTTTAAAAGACAAAATAATTTGCTGTTTTTTTTTAACATCCAACACAAACTGTGTAACACAGGAATAATTAATTGGAAATTGATAAAAATCACAACTGATACTGTAACATAGACCCCTTCCTTTCTCCATACATTTTTTTTTTGGTCTAGCTCCAACACAACTACTCCAAAAAATAGGACAAGATAGGCATACTACTTGACTTAATTAAATTAATTATGATTATGCTTGACTTAATTAAATTAATTATGATTATGCAATTAGTTATTACTCAACATAAGCCATAAGGGGGAGAAAAGTAAATGAATCCTACATCTTTTAAATAGATCAAACTCCAAAAATTAAAACCTATTAACTGCATAATAGGACTAATGTGATTTTCAAAGAACAATATTCTGCAGATTTACATAGTCTACATATTGTTGATAAAAGTTTTTTCTGCTTTAACAGTTAAGAAAACTAATGAATATATTGCCAGTTTGGCCAACTAGCTAAGGGTCACAAAAGGCCAGCAGCTATAGTTCATGCAATACAAATTAATGTAATGTATGCCTAGAACTATTCCTAGGAAAACAAAAGGAAGTTAATTAAAATAAACATAGTAACGAAAGAATAAGTGAATAAGCTTACAGACGTGTCAATGTCACCCGGTTTGCCTATAGCAGTAGGTCCTATCCCTATTCTGTTTATGTAACCTTAAGGCTAGATAGTAGATAATAGATCTATGTCCAAGGACAAATTTAAAAGTAAAACAATTTCCAGGGATACAATCTAATTTATGTAGTTTTCATTCCTAATTAGTAATTAGTTTGTATTCATCTATTCTATATATAGGCCTAATAATCTTTAGGTAGAAATTTGTGACGGTTCTGATAAGACTCATGATTATATAATAGAACAAGAATAGTTAAGTTGTTAGGCCTACTTTGTTACTAATTTTAATTTAGATGATATATCCGAATATATCGTATTCCTACATAGTACATAGATCTAGAATCTAGACTTAGAGTCTAGTCTAGAGGCTCACAATTTATAAACTACTAGAATCTAGATTTAGATCTAGATAAAGTTGAAGCAAAGCCACATCAGAAAGTCCCAAATAGCTCTGCATAGTTTATAGCTAGATCTAGAATCTACTAACATAAACTGATACTAATGACATGTGCTAAAAAAATCCCTATCATTTTAACTGATGTGAATGACCTATTGAGATACTGAATATTGCGCCACGTCGTCTGCTAGGCTAGCATACTACTAGGCTCTGATGACGCAAGGTAGTTAAGCCAGTAATAACTGTTTGCAAATTATCTCCCAAGCTGAACGGACAACACGGTTATTACAAAAGCAAGGATTAAAACCGTGTAAGTCTAAAAGCAGAGTTTCTTTCAGGCATCTCTTCGGTAGAAAAAAATTCTACCGCCCCCCCCCCCCCCCCCCCGAAATGAAATTTATATAATTTATAAAGAAAATATATACTTTTAACAGTGTCCGCCCCCCTCCCCCGAAGAAAGTCTAGAATCTAGCTTTTTGAAACTGTTAGGCGCCAACTTTCTTTTAATACTAAGATCACTAAGATCTAGATCTAGATTAGATCTAGATTTAGATCTAGACTCTAGATCTCTATAGGTTCTAGATCTATATCTAAAATAAACAATATTAATAAAAAAAAATTATTAAATAAAACAGGAGATCTAGAGTCTAGATCTAGATTTAAAATCTAGATCTATTCATAGAGACTTAGAATCTAGATCTCTCTAGAGTCTAGATCTAGATCTAGAATGAATATCAAATGATATGAAAATTATAGGGCAAGGATGAGGACCCTAAAAAAAGAAATCAGACAAAGAATTGCAAATACAAAGAAGAGTAAAGAAGACGAGCGACGCTGTATTTTTTTTCTGACTACAGGCTAGAAATTAGATTCTAGACTGATTCTAGTCTAGATCTAAGATCTAGGTCTATAGCAAATAGATAACCTAACAAATCAATCACTAATGCTTGAATTGTTTCTCTACCTCACCCTACGATTACTAAGCTAAGACATCGTGTAAAATGATTTTGATTTCCTTCTTTGGCTTCTTTAAGAAATCTAATTTGTTTTCTCTTTCTAGAGCACCACAACAACATACATTCATTAACATTCATACATCGGGTTATGGGTAGTCACATGTAGCCTAAATATATGGAATGTACACTCACATAATAACTTCTATCCACTTCTGAGTCCATGGTTGATTTAGTTTTATGTATAAACTCCACGTCACGCAATACTCCCAACTAAACATGTGAATGAACTGCGTTGTCGCGCGCTTAATATAGGCGCGCGGCCAGGGAAAACTCGTCGCAGCCGGTTTCACAGATGCAGGTTTGTGTTGTTTCCGTACGATGGCAAGCACGTGTTTTTTCAGCTTGCCGGCTTGTAAAAAAACTTTATTAAATACAAAGTAAATACTTTGTATGAATGCCAATAATAAATTATTGTTGAATACTTCACTTATTATGTTAAAATTATAAGCTGTGTTTAAATGGAATGTAGATTTTTCATCTCGTTTTTTCTTTCTTTGTCGGAACATTGACCTGTTTTAAATCTGGCAGACAACACTTTTTCCCTGAAGGGGGAGGAGTCAGCTGTCAGCTGTAACTGAGAGGTTCAAAGAATGTTTTGAAAAGGGGGAGGGGGTAGAATGGGAAAAGTAGGCTTCATTTTTACGTTAGTAGGTCACGGTATGTTCCTCAACTAACGTCGGGACACGTGTGTTAACTAAACCCTTAGCCTAACTCTCAGGCAGTATCTAGGCCTACTAACATAAAATATTACACGAAAAACGTTATTTTTCAAGCTGATATGTTTACCAATATTTACACAACTGGAGTCGATGTTGATGTAAATATTTTTAGTAGGTTTCGCATTAAAATTTAATTTAAATAGTCCTAGTTATTGTAATTTGATATATGTATAGATCTAGGCCTATTTGAATAACAGGACACAACGATCATGTCGTTTACAATGAGCCGCAGACAAAAGCAGTTTTCCTTTTATGTATTTCTCCTTGGGGGAGGGGCCAGTGTTTATTTCACTTCCCTCTCCACTTGAAATTTTCGGAGGGGGGGGGGGGGGGGCGGACACGGGAAAAGTATATATTTTATATATACATTCTAATTCGTTGTTGGGGGGGGGGTAGACAGGTCATTCTTCTTTCCTGGCCAAGCTAGGGCCATCACTTTCCTTACACGAATGTCAGTGGGCGGAGGGGGTGGGGTGAGGGGGGGAGGGGGGTTTAAATCGAGATACCTGCCACGCGCTGAAATCTATTGTGGTATCACGCCTGCTAAGGGGGCTGCTCGGTGGACCGTGAAAACGTCAGACGTGCTTAAAAAAATGAATTAAATGAGACCAACTGCTTCCGTTGAACAAGTGCAGCGCGTTATTTTTAGGCTAAACACTAATGTAATCTCCTAAGAAATCTAGCGTTGATGTACACAACCAGAGGCGTAGCGAGGGGGTGGAGGGGGGTACATATGTCCCCGGGCACCTACCCTAGGGGGCGCCATAGTGGGTTGGAAAAAAAAATAAAAAAATCATTTTAACTGCAGTTTTGCATTATAAAAATAACAAATATATTGGGGTGGGGGCGCCAATTTGAAAAATTTGTCACAGGAGGGAGGGGGGCGCCAAATCAAAAGTTTGTCCCGGGGGGGGGGCGCCACATTGAAAGTTTGTCCCCGGGCGGAGGGAAGGGTCGCTACGTCTCTGTACACAGCATATCTGTATCTACAAAAACTCTGTTAAAAAAACAACTGTGTGTTAAGTGACATACGGTTAGGTTATATGGTTGTGCTGGGAAGGCGTGGTCGGATGGTAGAGCGTGCGAATGCTAACCGGAGTTCAGATCCCCGACTTGAGTCTGTAAACGTCAATCCAGCTGTCATGGGTAAGCCTACATGACTTAAGTTAGGGAAAGTAAAGACGGTTGGGCATAGTGCTGAACACATTATGCCTAGGCCACAGAATCAGGTGAACTCTACTTAAAGTGCCGTAGGGGCCGTCTATTTCGAAAGGGTAAAGAAAGAGTAGACGGCGTAGTCTTGGGGAAAACCCGAAATTCACGAGTTCAAAACCTAAACTTGAGACAGTAGGTCGTCCCTTGGCCGAAATGCCCTTCATGTTCAAACCAGGAGTTGGTGATGCATGGGGGGGGGGGGGGGCAGAGGCATAGCGAGAGGAGGGGGCGGGGGTGCATATGTTCCAGGGCGCCGACCCTAGGGGGCGCCAAAATGGGTTGGAAAAAAAATTAGCTGCAGTTTTGCATTTTAAATATAAAAAATGTATGGGGGGGGGGGGATCGCCGAATTGAAAGTTTGTTTCCTGGGGCAAATTGAAAGTGTGTCCCCGAACGCCGGGAAGGGTCGCTACGCCTCTGACGAGGGAAGAAGCAGAACCCATGGGTTTAGTATCTGGGTATGAGCAGTGTTTCTTTCAGGCATTTCTCTAGCGGTAGTAGCAATATGGGACGGGGTGGCTTATCGGTAGAGCGCTAGACTGCTATACCGCCGGTATCTGCAAAAGAAAACTGTCGGTATCTGGAAAAGAAAACTGTCGGTATCTGGAAAAGAAAACTGTCGGTATCTGCAAAAGAAAACTATCGGTATCTGCAAAAGAAAACTGTCGGTATCTGGAAAAGAAAACTGTCGGTATCTGGAAAAGAAAACTGTCGGTATCTGCAAAAGAAAACTATCGGTATCTGCAAAAGAAAACTGTCGGTATCTGCAAAAGAAAACTGTCGGTATCTGCAAAAGAAAACTGTCGGTATCTGGAAAAGAAAACTGTCGATATCTGCAAAAGAAAACTGTCGGTATCTGCAAAAGAAAACTGTCGGTATCTGCAAAAGAAAACTGTCGGTATCTGGAAAATGAAACTGCGGCCCTGCGGGTACATGAGAAATGAAACTCACGGTATCTGCAAAAAGAAACTGCGGGTATCTGGGGAAAAAAATTAAACTGCGGGTGTCTGTAACGAATCGATGAAATTTTAATGAAGTGAGTTGTAAACGCCATGGCGTGCCGTGTCTGCACCCGCTGTGAGGCCGGATCTTGCTGAAACATGCATGGCATGTCGTGTAGATCAATAGCTCCCAAACTTTGATTTTATTTCGTTTCAGTTCAGTTGCTCGTTCGAATTTTTTTTTTCAAACCTCTTCAATTATTGATACCTTACCACTGGGTGGGTGATTTGAATCCAGGGGCGGAACTACAGTGCCGCCAGACCCCGCATTGCGGGGGGGGGGGGGCCCACGCCATTTAGGGGCCCATCGCCGACCATAATAAATTCTTTATAGTTTAAAATAATAATTTTCTTGCATTTTTGACTTGACGGTAAAAGCTTTTGTAAATAAAAAACAGATCTACTACAGTAGTGATGCTATACAGTAGCTAACACATGCTGTTGCGTTAAAACAAACTATATGCCTGAGCTGTAGTGATAGGCAAACGTTCAGAACACTTCCATGACTTATTTCCCTTTTTTAAAATAGTAAAATAGGGGTGCTCATAAGCTCCTTTTAATATATTTGTACTAAACAAAAGAAAAAGAAATTACTTTTCTTAGTTATTATTTTAGAAAAAAACATACTAAATAATTACATAGCATAAATTGGAAATATATTTAAAACAAATAATATAAATACAAAAAAACATAAAAATAAACATAACACGAGAAACCATTACACATACAAAGCTTTCATGTTTTATATTCTTTTGACCGGCTAATTACTGTGAGTAGGTAGGATTACAGCAAACATTCAATAAACTAGTTCTAAATATAAAGAAGAAATACAAAACAGACTAACGCACTCACACACATAACATGTTGTAATTTGTTTAAATTGAAAAAAAAAGACATTTTTTTTTTCAAAACCCGATCGGGCAAGAAATGAGTATTCCATGTTTGTATTCTGTGTTTGTATATATATATATATATATATATATATATATATATATATATATATATATATATATATATATATATATATATATATATATATATATATATATATATATATATATATATATATAGGAGGGGGGCCCAGAATTTTTTTTTGCGGGGTGGCCCTTTTTTTCTAGTTCCGCCACTGTTTGAATCTAACAGAAAATAGATCTGAATGCTAGGTTCAGTGGTGTAGCGAGGGGGGGGGGGGGGTGCGGGGGTGCGGACCGCACCAGGGGAACACCATTTAGGGGGGGTGACACCAAGGCAAAAAATAGCAAAATATATAGAGAAAAATGATAATTCCACTTAATTAAGTGATTAATTCGAGTGTTAAAAAGAGCAAATTTGGCAAATCCAGACTAGGGTGGAGGGGGGGGAGGTGCAAATCGAAAGTTAGAGGGGGGTGCAAATCGAAAATTGAAAGTTTGTCCCCGGGCGCTCCCTAAATGGTGTCTAAAGGTGCGGTCCGCACCCCCGCCCCCCCCCCCCCCCCCCCCCCTCGCTACGCCACTGGCTCCCTACATCATGGTTTCTGACAAAATAGCCCCGTTAATAATAATATTGATGGGTTTTTACTCTTTACTGACAGTCCCCCTCTGTTTAGAGAATTTACCTCTTATTACATAGCATTGATTTATATTATAAAATCGATAAGAATACACTTAACCGTAGCCCATTCTCTTACTCCATATTAAAACACTTAAGTCACATACTTACAAACATATAGCCTAATGATATTTGCTTGAAAATCGATAGTTAAATCCATATCTATTTAAAGCGTTTGCTATATAATATTAAAGAAATAGTGTAACATTTGTACATGCATGTCTAAGGCTTAGAACTAAAGGGCGTTTTAAATTTATTTTATTCATATAATCAGTTGTGACAGTTTACATGCATACACTGCTATAAGTAGTATACGGATAAAATGAACCAAAAACATGCTTTCAGGGGCGTAGCGAGGGGGAAGGGTCGGAGGTGCGGACCGCACCGGGTTACACCATTTAGGGGGGGTGACACCAAGGCAAATAATATATACAGAAAAAGGATTATTCCACTTAATTAAGTGATTAATTAGCGTGTTAAATAGTCTTTTAAGAGCAAATTTGACAAATCCCGACAAGGGGTGTGGGGGGGGGGGGGGGGGTGACACCATGACGTAAACCAGCTTATGATAGAGATAAACATGCTACATCAAGCTGTATTTATAACCGAGTAAAGATAAAAAATATATAATTATTTTACGAGGGGTGGAGGGGGAGGTGTGAAACCATTAAGTGCCGCACCGGGTGACACCCGACCTCGCTACGCCACTGCATGTTTTTGTACATTACGTT